TCCCCTGTTGCTTTATTCAGATATTTCCAGGTATTGCAACTAAAACAAGTAAAACTATTTAGAATTTTTAGTTTTAATAACGGTCACGTTCACTTTTTTTGCTTCAATGAAGCTCCACGGCCGTGAGTTGAACTTTAAACCATGGTCTATCACTAGCACAAAGCATACATTAAGCTGGGAAACACAGTAAAAAATGAGAACCTAAAAAGCCCACAGACATCTTTTTATGTCTGTGTAGGGTGTGTGAACAGCAAGTTTCCATTGCTCTCTTCTGCAATTTTGTCATATATATGGAAATGTGGGTTATGGGAGGAAAACGATCCTGCCGTTCAGTTCTGTTGATTGTCTCCATGGCTTTTTAAGCTCTCCGGCACAGTAGGTTCAACATGCCGTTTCATGTTTTCTGTGGGCTGTTTGAGGGCTTTAAAGTGATGCTTCAGTGTGGGATTGTAAAACTGAAGCTTTAAATGAAGCAAATAATGGAATCAGGTCATTAAACTCCAATCCAATGCAGTATACTGGAATCCAATTCCATTATCTACTGTATATATAAAGAGTGCGAGATAAAAGACAGAGGAGAGAGGATCCTGAATGGAATGTTTAAAGCAGCTGACCAAGAGCGCTCCTCACAACTAATAACAAAGCATTTGTCCCGGTTCAGCAAGGCTGCTGAGCTGGTAGATTCGCTGTTCTTCTCCCGTCACGAAAGGGCTCAACTTGTGAATGCAATCCACTCTACATGTGCTAACGGCAAATTAACCCCAGATAAATAATCTGCAAAATATCTCCCGGCGCCGTGTATTTAGCCATGTCTTTTCTGAGTCTGTCTGGCTGGACGCTTTAACTGTGAGCAATGGGGCCCGTGGCCATATTTGATCCAAAAAGCGCTGCGTCAGATACAGCTGGTGATATCATCGGCCTGTCAATCTGTTTCATTTTTCTGTCCATCAACTGTAAATAAATAAATAATAATCCAGAAAATTTACGGTAAAAAAACAGCAGCTGTGGTTGCCAAAAATGTTATAAAAAAAATATGGTAGCAACATTTTAGGTTTACAGATTTAACTTAAAGGTGGGGTAAGTGGTTTTTCAAATATACTCTTTGGAAGTTAGTCGGTCTGGCATAACAACAAACGTGTAGCCAATCAGGCTTTTGACATTGGAGGATAGGTAACGAGCAAGAGGGAGATTTGAACTGAAGAAAGACTGCAGAAACAGAGATGAGACACATTACAAAAGAGAAACTCGCCACTCTCCTGGATATACAGGTATAAAAGGAGGCCAGTGTGCTCTACACATTCAGCTTTGTTCTTCAAAACCAGATCTCGTATGCAGAGAAGCATTGCTGGCTGTCCATTCACCTTGTTGGATTTTCAAAGAGCACACTTTTCAAAGAACTTTCAAAGAGTTCTCCCTCTTGTTTGAGCACAGTTAAGTGCGCGAAGCTCCTTTGGGTGCATCAGTGGTGTCTAAAAGAGGCAATTTCCTGGTCTCCCACCCTCGGGTCTGACAACTCAGGCTGAGTGTGACAGAGTTGCTACAACAAGTTGAGCATATGATTGTGGTGCATCAGTACTTGCAGAATGGCGCCCGTCCGCCAAGGAGCCTAGGTCAGCAGTTTAAACGCTACGGCCCTCTCATAGGAAGTTGGTGCTGCCCGTCAATCACCAGGCAGATAAGAACCCGCCTAAGCTGCCGTGAAATAGGTGACCTAGGGATGAAGGATATGAGACCGCTTTTGTGAATCCAGAGATATGCATGGCGTTGTGGTACACATCGTGTTGCCATCACATCGAACACTCTTTGGTCAGACCACGCATTTCTATGGGCAGGTGTTCCCCTAGAGCGAGTGTCCAGGCATGTTGTTGTCACGACAGATGCCTCCAACACAGGCTGGGGCACCGTATGCTATTGGGCAGTTTCCAGGCACTGCATAGGACCCCGTTTGCACTGGCAAATCAACTACCTAGAGTTGTTGGTTGTGATATGTGCACTGAAAGGGTTTCGCCCACTGGTTCAAGAATGTGTTGGCAAGCATGTGTTGATTCATATGGTCAAAGTCCCTGCGAGCCACTCACATTCTGGGCATCCTCAATCGCGCAGCTGACATGCTTTCAGGACAGGTCATGCTCTGAGGAAAATAGAGACTCCACCCCCAAGTGGTCCAGCTGATTTAGAGCTGATTCGACGAGGCTAAGGAGGAGCTTTTTGCTTCAGAGGAATCCTCTCATTGCACTCTGTGGTATTCCCCGACTCAGGCCCTCCTTGGCATGGACCCACTAGCGCACAGCTGGCTTCGGGACCTGCGCAAGTACATATTTTTCCTCAGTGAGCCTCATTGCTCAGACACTGTGCATCAAGTGCAAGATCAAGACCCAATTGGCCCAACTAGACCTACTGGCTCTCAGAGCTTATATGCTGATGGCATCGGTCCCTCCCTGGCAAATTCCCATGAAGAAGGACCTACTTTCTCAATGGCACAATCTGGCAACCTCTGGAACCTTCACATATGGTCACTGGATGAGTTCAGAGTAGAGCCCCTTTTACTAGGTGGTTGTGTGCCTCAGAATGGCGTTCAAGGTAATTTACTATGGGCGTTGGAAGGTTGCAAGACAGCGTAGCGGCATTTGTCATTGTGGCACGCATAAAGCGTGCTATAGCATCTGCACTGCTTCAGGTTCAGGCTGCGGCTTGTAATATAGGGACCTCTAGTGTCTCTCATTCGACAACAACATCAAAAGTGAGCAATAAAAAGGGAATTCCTGTCACTCCTGCCACTGCCCGCTAAAAGGTTGTCCTCAGCACAAGCAGCTTTTCCACAAGCTGAAGGAAATCCAAAATCTATTGTATCAATCAATCCGTCATTTTATTGTTGTATCTATCGTCCTTTTGTCTCAAACTTTGCTTCTGTAGTTAATAATTACAGTGGATTTGAATTTCTTTTGAAATTCAGTCATTTTAATTACTTACAGTATTTAATTATACTTAAATTCATACATTTCTCATCCTGTTTTCAAATTAATTAAATTAAAAGAAGGGGGTTTAAATAATTTGTAAACCGAGCTCTCATTTCCATTCATTTACAATGAAGTCGTACCTAATTTAGCTTACCTGTCTGTCATCTGTAGTTCACGCATCCGGGCAGTCATTACACATTATAGATTACATTCCATCAACTCAGAGCAGGCTTTACAAATAACTGCACAAAACTATTGCAGAGACTTGCTTACAGAAACTTGAACTCATCTGACCCTTAAACTGTAAATCAGTCAATGACACATGTAGCAGATATAATTGCAGCTCTTGTCTTAGTATGCATGGCTGTAAAAAAAGAAAAAAAGGAAGAAGAAATAGAGCATAAGAAGAGAAGTGAAGGAATTTAGGACATCTGTTTTCCAATCAACCTGCTGTTCTTTTTATATGGCATTCATAGAAAATAATTTTCCCATCATACAATTCCAAAATGGCATAGCCCATTATTTTCCAACATGTGTTTTAAACCACAGCTCCATGTGTTCAGATGAAAAAAATCCTGACACAAGCAAATCATCAAGTCATCTGTATTTGCTAGTATGATATTACAGTGTTTGCGTTTGATGATTGAATTAGGGTTTCAGTCTTCAAACATGGATTCGATATGATATGTTCTATTGAAGAATGATGAAGCACAGTTCATTTGTTTTTACATGGCAATTATTTCCAGCATTAGTCATCAAACATTATGACCAAATAACAAAGAAACACTGATTTATGATCTACAGTGGAACATCCAAATTTCCCTTTATTTTTTAGTTGCGTTCACCAGCACAGAAGATATTTTAGTGCTTCCAGGCGGGTGTCTGTCCTGTTGCCTTAGAACAATATTTGAACCACTGTGTGAAACATGTAAGACCATATGAAGAAATCATTTCTAATCTGTTTTTGTTTAATAAGATGTGTTAAGTGCTTGCTGTGTTAAGTGCTTGTTTATCATTGCCTTTTTCTTGTGGGCCCTTTAAGCCATGCTGTTGTTGTTCTGTATTTTTATTCTGTATTGATAGTAAACAGCTGTTTTGCACACAAGCCAGTGAAGAGTGTGTTAGTATGTATGAGATGCTTCGTGCTTATTTGTTCACACTAATTAAAGTAATAATCGACTTTTTTCAAAACCTACTGTAGCCAGCTCCTATGTAAACAAGATTTTAGGCTTGTGCTCACAACCAGACATGAACTTTTTCACAATTTACTAATAGAAAAAGCTTTCTGTTATTTTTTCAGAATAAAAATAAGATGCTATAAGATCAATGAATACTGGTTTGATTTTTATATGACCAGTTGAAGAAGCCTGATGAATGTTCCATATTTTTATATATTCTTCATAAAGTTTTCTTTAACAGTATAATGCTGTTTTAATCTACACAATCCACACAATCTGAAAAATGTGATGTATCGTCATGCAATCAAACATTCTCATTTCCTGTTGAGTTACAGTGTATTCCACATAGTCCCTCTGCAGGACCAAACTGCTTTCTTGTCATCCTAAACACAGTTTTGTATTGTTTTTTTTCCTCTTTTTTTTTTTAACACAAGCATCTGGGCTGAATTTGATTCTCTAGTTATTGATTTTGCTTATGGCGGTCAGAGGCTAAGTGAGGTTGTCTGGGTTTCGTCCAGTGTCAGACACAAACCAGGTGCTTTCACAGGAACACTGGAAAGGTGATAGTCTGTGATGTGACATAGGTTCTGATGTCACATTTTTTGATGCAAGTGGCTACATTTTTATATTTTCTGAAGACATGAGACTGACTGTTAATTGTGCAAACTTGCTGTCACGAAGATGTTAAGAGCGTTGTGGGTGGTTGCCAGGTTGCTGTGCAGTTGCTAGGTGTCTTCTGATATATTTTAAATGTTCTCCAGTCTCTGTGAATGACCCTTCAAACAGTAAAGTATCAGATTTGTGGTTCAGTTGTGCTTTTTTTCTGTCTAATATTTTCTCACTCTGTGCTTTGCTCTTTTCTCAGGAATCGCTTATCTAGGTGGCACCTGTAGCTCCAAGAGGAAGTGTGTGCTGGCGGAGGACAACGGACTCAACCTGGCCTTCACCATCGCTCATGAGCTGGGCCACAAGTGAGTCTAAATGTATTGAAAACTGCAGAAAACTGATTTAGATGCTCTGTAATTGTCTTGAAATGAGTTCTGATCCATGCAATGAAATATACATCTGAAAACTGTTTTTTGAGAAGCACTGTAGTACTTCAAATTTATGAGCATGATACTTGTCTAAACCTCATGTACAGTGAAGATGGACTTCATGTAACATCATTTGTGTTTAGGATCCCAGAATTTTTTTTTTGTTTTAATGAAAATTATTTATCCAATATAGTTTAAAAAATCATTTTGGCTTCAATTTCATTCCAGCAAAACACATTGTACAAAAGTTATCATAATCAGACACTCTTGTGAAATTTCATTCCATTAAGCCATATTTTATAGGTTGGGTTATAATAAGCATTCTCATAGAATTATGAAGTGTCATGAAGATGATACTACAATGGTACATAAACTACCATTCAAAAGTTATGGGTCAGTATTAAATACTTTTGTTCCACATGAACACATTGAAATGAACAAAAGTGATAGTAAAGACATTCATAATATTTCAAACAAATGCTGTTCTCTTGAATCCTGTATCAACAAAAAAATAGTAAGCATCTGTTACAATCTGTAAACATTGTAAGATGTTTGTGTCAAGAAATGTGTTTTGAGCAGCAAATCAGCATATTCAAATTATTTCAGAAGGATCCTTTGATTCTAAAGACTGGAGTTTTGATGCTGAAAATTCAGCATTGCATCACAAGAATAAATTACATTTTAAAATATATTCAAAAAGAAAACAATTTTTTTTCAAATTGTTATTTTTTTTCACAATATTACTGTTTTTACTGTATTTTTAATCAAACAAATGCAACATTGGTGAGCATAAGAAACTTCTTTAAAAAAAATATATATAAATAAATTACAGACCCCAAAATAATAGAAGATAATTAATAATAGATTGTGATAATTCTGCCAAAAACCAAAATTCAATCATCATTTAAACAGCCCCATGTCCTTCCAAACCTGTATGGCTTTATAACACAAATTCACCCAGTTCATTTCCATACAGTAAAGGCTTATTGTAACTAGGGGTGGTGAAGCTTCATAAAAAGCACCATAAAAGTAGTCATATTCCAATATGCCATATTCCAACCCCTATGATAGCTTTGTGTGAGGAAAATACAGAAATTAGGTTTTTGTACCAGATATTTGAGAACCACAGCTCACTGTTTTCTTTTATTTCATGGAAAAGAGCATAATTAGCATTTCCTTTTGAGTTACACGGAAAAAAAGAAAGTCATACAAATTTGGAAAGACATGAGAGTGAGTAAAGGATGAAAGAATCTTCATTTTTGTGTCAACTATACATTTAACTTAACATTTTTGTCCACACGTACCAGGGATTTTTTTTTTCACAGCTTATCTATTAAGCATCTATTTAAAGGCTGACAACATTGGCCTTTTTGGTCCAATAAGTACAGTAGATTAATGCAATCTACCAAAGGTGGAGGCACCTGACCACATCTTCATCCATGATAAGACTCCTCTTCAGAAATGTAAATATTTAGTTTGTAATCTAAATTATTATACATGTGCACAGGGCCGTGCAGAGACCTCTGGAAGGGCAGGTGCTCAAAGTATAAAATGGGGCACATGGAAACAAGGCTTTATAGGGCTGTGCTCAAAATATCAATACAGTAATATATCAATACAGATGATTCTGCATCGATACAGCAGCAAATGCATTGATGCAGTTTTGAAAAAGAAACAGAACAGAAAAGACAATTTTAAAGTTTAAAATGTAAAAAAATAATTTATATATATATATATATATATATTTATATATAACTCTGGGATTAGAAACTGAAGTATCTTAAGTTGTCCCAACCTGATGGCTTTTTCTTCTCTGTTATACAGAATAATAAAGAACAGCTGTTATAGTGAACTGTATAGGACAAAATCAACCTGGCCCATGTTTCGTGCAGTACAGTATAGTTTTATTTAATGGCATATCAGCATCTGTGGCTATTTTCATGGCAAAAACGGATTTACAAAAATACAAGAGTTACATTTTATACAATGAAAATAAAAACAAAGCAAACAGAAACATCAATTAATACTTTACAAGATTTTTAACATTAATGTGATGCCTGTTATGGTTAATTCTTACTTAAGTCCTTAAGTGAGTTTGCTGCCTTTGCTGTTGATGTTGTTACTGCTGCTGCTGATACTGCTGGAGTTGATCTAAGACTGTAGACATTAAAATAAACAGAAATATAGGTTATTAGCTGATTAAACCATTTTTATGTGACCATGACAAGATGTAAAGATTGCTGACAGTGTTTGGAACTGGCTCACTAGTTCACTGACCTGCTAAAGCTACAGATTCTGCCCAGGCTGCTATAGTATAATAATACAATAATAGAATAGTAACGTAACAGGGCAGATGTTCACACAGGCTTCTGCACACAAAACATAAGATACTAACTGGTAAGCCTATGTGATAACTTACCAGAGTTGTGATAATAATTTTTATGTGAAAATAATTTTTTAAATAAATACTGTAATAATAATAATAGTTTAAAGTACAAATAATAGTTTTTAGTCAAATAACACCACTCCACGCCCATGAAACTTTTCTCCCTCAAACAGCAAGCTAACGTTACTTCTACAGCCTAACGTTACACACAGCAATACAAACAATATCTCTCTGCATGCTCTCTTCACGTCGTTCTAGTAAAATAATTATAATAAGTAAACAAACATCAAAATCACTTCGCTGAGAATAGAACACCACTTACCAGCAGCCGCAAGAGTTGAAGATATCCTCTGGGAATGCGCGATTGCGCGTAGCCGCGCGAAATTAAAAAATGCGCGTGCAGCGTGAGGAATCAGGTGAAAGGTCATCATGTGGGTCATTTTATTTACAGCTAAATTATTATTCATTAATTTTACTACTAGTTAGATGGGGCAGGCATCCACAAAAGTGCATTTAAATACAAAAAAAAGGAGAGGAAATTTTGTCTTGACAAAAGGGCACTTTGGGCACCAAGGGGCAAAAGGGCAGGTGCTCGAGCACCCAACGCCCCCCCCTCTGCACGTGCCTGCATGTGCATGTGATGCTCTCTGTTGTGTTTTTTTTTGTTAGTTTTTTTGTAAATGGTCTGCTCTGCTCTTTTTAACAACATTGACTGATTAAGACCCCAAAAACACTTCCATCCTCACCGAGTGATTTGGAAAATCTAGTGAAATTCCTGAAAGAGAACATGCTGTAAGACATTTCATGTTCACACATCATTCACATGAATTACTGGATTGAACCGAATGCCACGACTACGTGTTCCTCACTTCTCACAATAGCAGCCCTTCATCTCCTTGCAAGCATAAAGCCCTCTTTGATAGAAACAATGATGGGCAGCCAACACCAAAATTTGTCTGGAAAAACGGCCAAGCTACATTAGCGTAAGCGCCGTCTTTGTGGCAGTGCCAGTCTTCAGAGGAGTTATCACCATATCTGCTCCACTATAGCATGCAGCAGGACGGCACTGGCCAAAGTCGGGTTTAATGCCCGACTGTAATGAGTTGGCACCGATCACGCCCGGCTGGTGCCGATACCAGGGCCGCGTCGCTAGTCATCACACGCACACAGGGGTTCCATTGTCTCGAGTCTGTAAAAACACTGTTAAAGCAAGTATATTATGGGTTTATATGCATGCTGAGTTCTTTACAATAAAGACGCATCAAAATGATGATGTCAGTCGTTAGCACTACTGCAGCATTGAATATTTCTGAAAGCATGGCATTTACTAGCTCTAATAAACACATGCTACAGCGATTAAGATTTATCAGACTACCGAGCGGAGTTTCTCATATTTCATCATAAGTGCACCTGGCGTGATCTACTCAAGACCTTTTGATTTGGTGTGTGGGGCGTAACAAAGCTTAATGACTGTCTGGAGTCTTGTTTTAGCAGTGCTCCATTCGTTACACTTTATCAAGTGTAGACGCTGATCATTTTCCAATAATAACAGCTGAAGGAGCATGAATATGGTGCTCTAGGAACATTGGTGTAACACAAATGTGGAGTTTGCCGCATGTATCGAGTCCTTTGAAATGAAAACATCCTTTGTATTGTCAGAATGCATCATATTTCAGTCCACCCACAATGCCTCATTAGTGTCATCACTGCTAATGTGATTATTAGTCAAAGCACCTTTCCGCATAATGATTGTCTGTTCAATGAGTGGAGAGTAATTGGTGCTTAGGTGAGATCGGCAAATTACACAATGTGAATGAGACTATTTACACTACCGTTTAAAAGTTTGGGAATGGTACGATTTTTTGAAAAAAGTCTCTTAAGCTCCCCAAGGCTGCATTAATTGAATCAAAAAAAAAATTAACGATAATTTAATGTAAAATAACTGTATACTATCTGAATATATTTTAATATGTCATTTATTTCTGATGCTAAACTGAATTTTCAGCATCATTACTCCAGTCTTCAGTGTCACATGATCCTTCAGAAATCATTCTAAAATGCTGATTTGTTGCTCAAGAAACATAATAAATGTCTTTACTGTCCAATTAATGAATCCTTTCTGAACAAATGTATTTCTTTCTTTCTAAAAACTAATATATATTACTGACCCCACACTTTTGAACAGTAGTATGTTACCATCAAAGTGTTGTGAAAAAAGTTAATATTGCAAAAGTTAATATTTATGTATAAAGTATACATTTCCTTGTATACTTCACATTTCCATGTTCTTGACACGCCCATTTTACCGAGGATGCATTGGTTGGTAACTTGTGTGAAATGACGGCAGAAATATCCCAGCATTCAATTCGATATTATAGGAAGGAGAGGCAGGTCAATACAGTGATTAGTTTTTCTACAATTACGTATGCTATTTCATCACTAAATTCACTTTAATGGAAGTGATGTTGTGGCCCTACTCCCGACTGGTTTTGGGAAATGTTTAACGTTAATTTATCAAATATTACCGATCGTCATCAAGAAACTGGGCGGGCCAAAGGCTGGCAAGGCGATAGTTGTGATTGTGTTCTCCTTGGTTGCACTCATGAGGATCAGGTTAAGGAGGCAGCAAAACTTGGTCAGCCATGTTCAATCCAGTATTTCGCTCAAAGGTTTCGTATTCGATGTGGCTGAACTGGCGAATAACACACGTCATAACCAAACGTTATGTGATTGGCTTACGGGTAACCAATGATTTTATACTTCAGACAAGTGCCATATCAGGCTAAACGATAAGGCCATTTGTCGACGAACTTGTACAGTTTATGGTCATTAATGATTCCTCGTGTTTGGATTTTTGAGGAACAGTGACTTCTCTAAGCTATATGACTTATGATTTTTTGATTTAGGGCAGTAAGAAACCACCTAGTAACTGCATAATACCAGCCCATATCTTTAAGCACTAAGCCAAACATTGGTCATGCATGATGGCTTCCCTTCCAAGGGTTTTAAGTCCTGTGGACGCTTGATAGGGTATTTGGCTTGTGAAAGCACTTGACCGTTATTAGCTTGGCAGTGAAAAGTCCTGTTTTAATAAGGCTAATCATGTTTTTTTTTTTTTTTTTCACCAAATCACCCCATTGATATTAAAAGGCGCTCATCTATGTTAAAGCTTGACATAATGTGGCGTTGAAACCGCTGTAGCATTCACATTCTTCTCCTTGTTCATTTATTTCTCCACGGCTACTCCTTGATTTCTATTGTGTTCTGTGTGTGTCTTTTGACTTTTATTGCTTTGGTCTTTAGCGGGAGTCGAGACACAGCTTGGAAATCCACACTGCTCTCTTTATTAGTTCCTGGGCTCACTGCTGCTGCTTCAGTTTTTGGTTGTTGTTTTTAATTTGGGAAATGTAGGTCAGGGCTTAAGAGAAAGTACTCTTATGACTCGAGTTGCTTTGGCTTTCGTGAGCACACATGCTCTATTTTAGAGTAATATTGCATTGTTATGCATTCAAAGGAAGCTTTGTAAACAGCGTGTTAATGATTATGTTTAACAAGCATAAATAATAAGTATTTATTGTGCACTAAGTTTGCCTGGGTGAGACCCATATTTTTGTGGATATCACTGCTGTTTCTCATTAGTGTTTCGTGTTTTTGATTGTCTTCTCTCTTTTAGCATGGGCATGAGCCATGATGACGATCACGCCAGCTGCACAGGCCACTCTCACATCATGTCTGGGGAATGGGTCAAAGGTCGGAACCCCAGTGATCTCTCCTGGTCCACCTGCAGTCGTGACGACCTGGAAAAGTTCCTCAGGTGAGTTCTATAAAATATAAAATCCTCAAACCAGCCTCTGTTTTTTAGTATTATTAGTAGTGATCAACCAATTTTTGTAATGGGTGATACTAATAACTAGACAGTGAAATGGTTTGTGATAATTTTTGTTTGGGCCTGAAATCACTGATACAACCTTTAAACAACATTGCTGTAATAATTTATAATGTATTTTTTTTTAGCTATAATTATATTTAATTTAGAACAATAAATTAATTTTTGCAGATATGATGATTGAATGCTACGGTGCCTTTAAAAAGTGTCATTTTCAGAAAAAAAAAACATATTCTGCATATAGAGAAAAACTTTTATATGCACATGAACGAACTGTGTACAAATGAGAATAATTATTTTACAGTAATTATTTAAAAAAAAAAGACTAATTCTAAAAAGTATAATGATTATATTTAGATTAATAAATAATATGTGTAATCTACATTCATATTTGTAGTATTAATAATATATTTATAATTAGTAAATAATTTCCATATCATTTCCAAACTGCTTGCTATAAATAAGTACCACTAAACAGACTAGATTCAGTCTCCCACATTACCTTTCTGTCAAAAATATCCTTGAGCAAGATGAACAAACAGTCAAGCGTTTGAATAGAGTTCATTCTGAAAGCCAAGGATTAATAGTGTATGCCCGGCTCTATAAACAAAGAACCGGCTGGAGTCATCGATCCTCACGGATGTACTGCAGCCGATGACAGAATAAAGCGGCAGTATTCACTGTCTGCTGTGCCCGGATTACTTCTGACCTCAATTCAAACTACAAAGTGTCACTGTATCTAAGCAGATACCAACGTTATCCAAACTGTGCTTTTGAGCTTCTGTGAGTATTTTAATGCCAGACACAATCGAACAGATTAATGTTTCTTCCTGTAGAGTAAAGCTCCTCGCTATACGATAACATGACAACATGGCTCTCCAAACTCACGGATGCATGTTGCTTCTTGTTTGTACACATACTGTGCACTGCCCTGTACGACTGCAGCTTTAATGTGTAGCATGATGTGTAGCGTGATGGTTTCTGTAGATGCTTTGAAACAGTGAAAAGCGCTATACAATTAAATGTGAATTGAATTGAACTTTACTTTTTTAGTTAAATTTAGTTTAGTTTAGATTAAGGGTGTAATGGACCAGACGAGACTAAGGAGACAACCGCACAAACCACCACTGCCCAGCATTTTTCTTTCAAACGCCATATCTATCAACAACAAAATGGACGAATTTAATCTACAAATCTATGTGAATAAACTCTATTGCATTTTGATATTAACTGAGACATGACTTCACCCACATATCCCAGAAGACTCTGATATGAGGGGGATAATGCATTAACACCCACAACAACTGGTGCACTCATGCAAAATGTATAGGCAGACATTGTTCTGCAGATTTGGAGTATCTATGCGTCTATGTTAAATGCAGACTGAACTATCTTCCTTGTTGACTTACTATTGTTATAGTTAAAGCTGTTTAGATTCCACTAGATGCCAGTTCTTGCATGGCTCAGTCTACCTGCTCAATGCAGACAGACCTAAAGGCTGTTCTCCCAAAATTTGAACATCACACTACAGTAGATATGCTATAAGGGAGACAGATATATTAGATGATTTTATGTAGCACCTTTAAAGGTTGTGTCCCAAAGGGCTTTACAAGAACTTACAAATAAACTACATTGAAATAGGACATTGAAAAAATAGAAACAGCCCGTTGAGAATTTGGTCCTACAACATATCAAAGCCAGTCTTCAACCTACCTTTGATCCAGTCCAGTTCACTTACACAGCAAATAGGTCTAAAGAAGATGCTTTCGTTATTGCTCTTCATACTGCATTGAGTCACATGGAACATCAAGGGACTTATGTGAGGAGGCTCTTCATAGAATTGAGCTCTTTGCCTTTAATACAGTAATTCCAGGAAGATTGATTAAAAAAAAACTTCCCAGCTTTTCCCAATCCATTTGTCTCTGTCTGACAAAGGCCTTCGGGTCAAAACATTGTACGGTGCAATAAATTGATTCCTTGGAAGCAGCAGTGGCAGTGTGCCGACATTTGTTTACTGTCTTTCAATTAAATTCCTGTCGAATAAATTCACAATTTTTATTTATTTTATTCACATAAATTCCAAATTGCTTTGACAATTTTCTTTTGAATAATTTACATCCAATTTGTTGAACTTTTTTCATATTTTACATAACACACAGTATCATATGCCTTGCCTTCCTGATTATTTTAGGATGAGCTGAAATATTAAATATTTACAGAAAGCAGACGTGCCTGGAAATCCCGAAGTGTATGCGCTCATTAGGGTTTAAGCCATCAACGTCAACCCTTTCAAAATATTTCTTATCTGCCCTCTTTAAAATAAGAGTTTGGAAACCGCTTTTGGTTTTGCAGACATCTGTTGTGTTACAGCTGTCTGTGTTTTTCAAATTTTACATTTATAGGAAGATATGAGATTAGAGTTGGAGAGAGGACAAATTAATTAGCAATGGAAACCAGTATTAGAATTTCTAAATTTCTTTTATAGGAAAGCTTGTTTTCCAGTTGTGTGTGAAGATGTTTTGTACATCCTGTTGATTTCTCTAACACGTACTGTCTTCCAGATCAAAGGCCAGTGCCTGTTTGCTGCATACTGACCCACGTAACCGCTACCTCGTCCGTCTTCCAGCCAAACTACCCGGGATGCACTACAGCGCCGATGAACAGTGCCAAATTTTGTTCGGCACCAATGCAACTTTCTGCACTGATATGGAGGTGGGTCTTTTACCTGGGAATGCACTGATATCATACTGGACTCATGTGTTCGTACTGTAAACTGACATAATGTATGTACATACACACAAATAAACACCAGCAGTAGAAAAAAATCTCAGTAGATTGTAGATGCACTACCAAACAACCAAATCTTTTTGACCTAAACAACCTCATATACTGTTCATGTATGTATGAAAGCTGTTTTCCACCACAGAAAATAAATTGAAAAGTGAATCACTTTTAATTCTGACAATTTTTACTCACAAAAAAAACCTGCGTCTGTGGGTTTATATCTCGCAATTGCACATTATAAACTCATAATTGAGTTTACATTACGTATTTCTGACATTTTTTTGCTGCATTCAGAGTTTACATCATTTTTTTTCATTTTCGACACTAAAAACTAAAATAGAAAAAGTAATTATGACTATCTCACTTTTTTTTCCACAATAGCAAGTTCATATCTTAGAATTCTGACTTTTGAATTGTGAGATGTAGAAGCTTCCAGATATTCAGTAGTGGCCAAAAGTGATGTCTGGAGGCGATATTTGTTTTTAATGACCCTAAAAGTTCAATTAAACCATCAATATATGAGGAAAATATTGTGTATATATTTTAAAATATTTTAAATATGAGGGAAGAACAAAACACTAAACTTGGTTAATTATATCTGATACAATTATTTGTCAAAAAAGCAAACCTACTGTTGAAGGTTTTATTTTATTATGCAAAAATGCATTTAAAAACAGGAAAAAGCATGCACTGACTATAACATAGTTAACATCAGTTAATAATATTTCAGTGGATTCATAATTTTTCTGTATGACAGCCTGGCCAAAATGATGTCACATTTCATTGAGTTGTCACAAATGAAACAGTTGACTCCAAGCGCAACTATGCAATATGTTTATGTTCCTAGGCCCAACATCACTTTTGGTAAATAATCTATGTAACAGAATCACGTTACAGTTACTTTTTTTTTGTTGGCTTGGCCCTGCGATCATTCCCATATGTAGCTGGTGGAAATAGAAAATTATCCAGGCTGCATTTGGAGCAGGTGATAACTTAAAAGGGTTTCCGTACATAATCATAAATCATGGTTATCCACACAATGCCTCCTCCTAGAGCTCTGGAGATTTCCAGCTGAAAGTTTCAGCTCAGAAATTGCCATAGTGAAAATATAAGAGCGGATGGCAGGTGTTGGCGTATCAGGCTTGATCTGAAACTTTCAAAGTCAGCTTGTGCTTTCCTGAGCATGTAATCATCAGCTGTAACCGTTCAAATCATTTCCACTTGCTGCCTGTGCATCATGACTGTATACCATCTACTGTATAAGCCACGTATACCATCTGTGAAGTTTTACAGCAAATATCTGTGTGGAATCTCATAAAACATACATTAAGATAATGAATAGTCCGACTACGAAAAGTAGAAAGCAGTTGGCATTAAAGAGACATCTAAAACAAAAAGGTTTTAGAAAAACAGTATAAAAAAGTATAAATAAGGCACTTTAATGGCTGTCCTGCCACCTTTAAAACTGTTTCTCACTGGGAGATTGGAAAATGTGATTGAGTGCTTGAGGTAAAGGACCGTGCCTGGCCGAAGTGAAAATACGAAGTTGTCAGACTGACATAGAAAATACTATCCAATCCATCTTAAGGGCTGTTGGGTAATAAAGTATTTTTGTTTGAGGAAAGGACATGTGCTGGCATTAATTTACACGTTAAATAAAAACATGAAATAAATGCATTTATTTATAAAATAAACTAAAACGTATACATTGTAAAAACGAAACACATTCATTTATTAATTTATAGAATAAATAAACATTTTTAAATGCATATTTTTATGAAAAAATAAATTCTAAATTAAGATATAAAATATGGAAAATTTAATTAAAGGCACGCTGCAGAACTTTTGGCCGCTAGCGGCGCTCGTCCTGTAACTTTACATCTAGCGTCCCTAAAGGCCACAAGCTCCAGAGCACTGTCGCAAAAGTCAACAAACAGTCAACCGATCAGCTTTAGGTTGTGTGTGCTTGCAGTGTTTGAGGTGGGGGCGCGCCGAGCAGCCTGGCCGCGCTCGATTCTCTTATAGAAATCTGCTGAGAAAGAGCGTATGCTGTAAAGCGGTCAAATTTTGTAGTTCTTTTGGTGACGAATGCCATAAAGCGTTTGAATTTTGTAGTTTTTTTTTTTTGTTGTGCTCTGGTTCCTACCCGAAACCCGAAGTTACGTAGTGTCAGTAAAAGTCTATGGCAGATGTGTCATTCAACCTATTGTAAGTCGATGTACCATCACAAGGGTTATGGTAATATATTATAAAGTTTGAAAAAATACATAGTGTGCCTTTAAATTGTATATAAAGCCATATGGTCTTCGTAATGTGATCCCAATATTAAACAACATTTAATATTACCTGGCATTATAATTATTGTGGCATAATAACTTATATAATACATGATTATGTCAGGCGGGAAGGGATTATGTCTATTGAGAATGAAAAGATTAAAAAAAAATATTTTCTGTGGAGTAAATGCATTTTTTATTAAAAGTAATGTTTCAGTTAATTGTGGAGCGTGTCGCAAAGACATTTTTATATCCAAAAAAATATTTGATAATTTTTTCATGACATGATGTTGTTTCATTTGATGCATTTCATTTGATATAGTTTTATACAATAAAAAAATAAATGAATAATTGAATAAATAAAAAAACACAAGACCATCAATTTATTAAAGGTTTTAAAGTGGTCTACACGAGTCTAAACTGTCTGTGTTGTTTCAGCACTTGATATGTGTGGGTCTCTGGTGTTTGGTGGAGGGAGACACGTCATGTAAGACCAAACTAGATCCACCGCTGGACGGCACAGAATGTGGTGCCGACAAGGTAACTTTTTTTTATCTTTAATATTATTAAAATGGCCATTATTAAAATGATTTAATTTTAAGCTGAAAAACAGGCAATACTATGGGTAAAAACATTTGGACAAATGGAGAATAGAGTGGCTGAAGAAGCTTTATAGCAGGTCAAAAATGTCAGACAAACGTACGACAAACAAACGTATGTACCGTTTTAGTTATTATAATGAGAGAAATTTACAGGGTGTTGACATTGATTTTGAACAGCCAACTATCAATGTACACTACCATTCAAAAGTTTAGGATTAATACGATTAAATTATATATATATATATATATATATAATACATTTATTTAGCAAGGATGCATTAAATCGATGCATTAATCAGATGCATATAAAAAACAATAATGTGTGTGAGTTCTTTTGAACTTTCATTTATTCAAAGAATCCTGAAAAAATTGTATCATGCGTCACACAAAAAACATGAAGTCTTTAACATTGATGGTAATAAGATTTTTTTTTCAGCATCAAATCAGCATATTATACTGATTGAAGTATCATGTGACACTGAAGACTGGAATAAAAATGCTGAAAATTCAGCTTTGGATTACAGAAATACGTACATTTGAAAAAAAAATAGAGTTATTTTAAACTGTAATAATATTTCACAATATTACTGTTTTACTGAATTTTTAATTAAACAAATGAAACCTTGGTGAGCATAAGAGAAAAAACAAAACGATCCCAACCTTTCGAACAGTAGTGTTAATCAAAAGGAGATTTTCATCTTGTATTTATTAAAACATGTAAAATTCATCATTGCATTAATTTAAATGTAAATGAGGTTAGTTTAGAACAAACCGTACGTAATGTTTGTGAGGCATCAACACAGAACTGCTTGTAATTAACTTTTTTATAAACAATATGCATCTCTGGTATGTTCTCATTTAGCTGGATTAACGTGTGTGTGTATCAGTGGTGCAGGGCCGGTGAGTGTGTCAGTAAGACACCCATTCCGCAACATGTGGATGGAGACTGGAGTCCTTGGAGCACATGGAGCATGTGCAGCCGAACATGTGGCACAGGAGCGCGCTTCAGACAGAGGAAATGTGACAACCCCCCGTAAGCAAGCCTTTACATCACTCTCTTTCTCTGTCTATCCAGATTTTATCCATTTTCATCCATGTTTTCAGATATACAGTAATATGGCCAAAAGTTACTCTATATCTAGAGGGCATATTTGTTTTTTATTGATCCTACAAGTTCGAATAAACCGTCAATTTTTATTAGTTATATATTTTTTTATATTTTAAATATGAGGAATTAAAAAACACTGAAATGGTCGCGGTGGTTATCTGACAAATTTAGCAAAGTATTACAGCTAGAGGTTTTATTTTATTCTGCAAAAATTTTAAATAAAAATATGCATGGAAAAATAAAAGCTCACAGGAAAAAGGTGGATATGTTAATTTTCCTAGTTATCCCTTTTGGCCACTACTACTTGTTTACTATACAAAACTAACTAGTCGTGCAAAACTCTTGTTAACAAACAGGCTGTAACCTAATCTTGCTCCAGTCAGGAGATGATTTGACTCAAATCCACAATGCACCACAATAACCCTGGTTGTGTTTTTGCAGGAACAAGCTTTCCTCTCACTTTCCTCCTTCATCTAATGGTGCTGTTTCTCTCAGAGTGTCATTTCTCAATTCCTGACAGTCTGCCAGAGAGCTTGTTATAAAGTTTTGTGTGTGTATATGTGTGTTTTTTAAAACATGATGTAATAATTCAAAGTTTTCCAGTTATTTCCTACATAGAACAGGATGCAATTTGTGACTGATGGTCCAAGATGCAAGACGAGCGTTTTTGTTTTGGACGCTTGTAACGTCTCGAGCCATTTTTGTGAGGTAATCGCTCTTTTGTGCATTTGTCCGCCTTGGATCGTAAAACACTTGGAGCTGCATCAAGCAAACCGAAGAGCATAAAGGAAGAAAAATAAGGCTGATGTCCAAGTCACGTTCTGTTTTAAAGTAGCAGAAAATGCTGTGGCATTTTCAGCATTATAGAATGTTTTCTGAAGGATCATGTGACACATGATGAGAAATAAATTACAATATATATTCAAATAGAAATATTCCTAATATATCAAATAATGGCAGCATTAGTGAGCTTAAGATTCCTTCAAAAACACAAATATTTTTGATCCCAAACTTTTGAATGGTAGTGTAAATGTTTTGGAAGTTTAACAAAGTCTAACAATAACGATTGAGAGATGTCGGTACAGTTCTTCCTGGCAAACTCATTAACATGAGAGACATTTTGGAGAGACTCACTGAGAAAATGAGACAGATTGATTGATGGAACATCATGGAGACTGTGAAAATGTGAGGATACATGTTACTGGACAGGTTTTAGACTGTTATGTTGTCAGCTGTCATCATTTAAGGCAGTGAAACATGCTCTAATGAAGGTTTATGAACTCTCAAAATCCACTAAAGGAAAAACCTTCTCTCAGTCATTTTTGACTGACCTCTCCACACATCTCTTCTTCTCAATCATCGCCCTACTGCTCTGATAATGATCTTCATATTTTGTATTTTTAGGTTAGAATTCATGATTAGGTCATAGAACATGAAATCTATGTATAACTGTGTTTCTTGTGGTTCGGTTCTCCAGGCCCGGTCCAGGAGGGAGGCACTGTCAGAAGGCCAGCGTGGAGCATAAAGTGTGCGAGGGGCTGCCATGTTCCAAGGGTCTGCCCACGTTTAGAGATCAGCAGTGTCAGTCTCATGACCGGCAGGCCAGTAAGAAGAAAAGCCAGATGTGGTCAGCTGTGATCGATGATGGTAAGACTAGAAATATACTTATAATCAATCAACAGTAAAGTCCTGAAGTCTAAGACCACGACAATGCCTAAATGTTCTTTTAAACATCATCACCTCTTTGTTCTGTACTATACTATCCTCTTTTATGAAAGAAATACATAATTAAAGAGCATATTGCAGGTTAAAAAAAAAATCGAAATTTATAGATAACCTTGTATGAAAATACCATATGAAAAGTTAATGCAGGATTTAAAATGTTTTAAAACAACATAAGGGCACTAATTTAGAAGATAAAGTGAGCGTTTCTTGGACTGCTTGTAAAAACGGCTTTTTTTTCAACATCGCGTCATTTGACGTCATATCAGGGAGCCGCAGCCTCGGCTCAGTGGAGAGCAGGCTGGTGTTCAGTGAGAGCGCTCGTCAGTCAGTGTGCTTTCGTTAGTTTTTGCATTATCATCGTCATGGTAAATTATTGTGTTTGTGGAGATTGCAAAAACTCCAGCCTGTCAGGACTTCAAGATCGAGTCCACAAGTTTCCATTACAATAAAAGTGACGGTGCTATATAGCCGTTCCTGGTGCGGTTTGAGCAGGTGAAGAGACGGGATTTCTCTTCTGCATCGGCTCGGAAAACGCGGCCGTGTGTAGCGTTCACTTCAGATCAAATGACTATAGCATCCCGGCGATATGATGGAGTTCAACATCATGGTATGCCGAAGCAAGAATATTGATCGTCGTATACTACCAATGGCATCAAATAGTGGTATATAGGTAACTTAGTCATGTCATGCCCTAAATAGAACTTATAATTGAAAAGCAAAATTGGTTGTTTAAATACTCAAATCTTTAATGTTCTGTTTATGTTATAACATAGGTGAAAAATATGTATTAAAAATTTACCTGAGTATAGCCTATGCTTTTAGAAATATACTCAAGTAAGTTTTTATACATTTAATAGTATATAAATCTACCCTAAACATACTAATGTCTGCTGGCCTGTTATAGGATCATAATAATCTGTACAATATTGTGAGCACAGTGTATATCGTTAGCGAACGTGTACAGCCTATAAGCACGTCTCTCACCTAAAAGGCACCTGTCCTGTTCTCCACTGGTTCTCCTCACATCACAGCTCAATTTTTCTCTGACCATTCTGTCTGACATTATCCTGGCCTGTCCCTGATCTCTTTAGCATAGCAGGCTCATAACTTTATGGCTTGCATCCGTCATACGAGTATTTCCTCAGCGTCCGAAATGTCATGCGATTCATTGTTTTCCTGTTGTGTGAATCGACGGCTCTCCCGCTCATTGCGTCACGCCCGCCACGCCCATTTTCAGACGCGGAAGTAAAATTCTCTCACAAAAACGACTGCAGAAGCTTCTGTAGCGTGTTTATACGTATATTTTAAAGAAAATCTAGTTCCTACATTGTTTTTCTATGCATTGACTCGTTGGGTCCTCTAACCTGCAATATGCCCTTTAAATACATTTATGTTTAATCAATTAGCACATATACTTTTTTGGTTTGTTTGTAGAGGCCTCAGTACCAGGAGATGAGAGAGAGAACTGAAAAAGTGACCAGTCTGTCTGTTCTCGATTAAATACAGCACTTGTGTGATTTCACACTGTGAGCTCTTGTCAAGGACGATCACTTGTTGATTACCAGGCAGCTTATGAGCAAGAGGGTGAATTTTATGCCTCGTTAGAATCCAAATTCGTCTCTGAAAGTATTTTCATCCAATCTTCTTGTTGTTTTAGTGCTCTCCCTGTCACTCTTAATCATTCTAACAATCCTGTCATCCTGGCAGATTGTTTATTTTTTCCTGTGTCACTAATGACACCTAAGCTTGGTTCAAGGCAATATACAGAATATGCTGATTTTTTTAATTATGCAAACATACTTCACCCATATTTGTTTTGGTATGCTTGATCTGGCACTGATGTAATTTTCTGTCCCATGTTGGAATTGTTACAGCTGTCCACCAAATGTCAGATCTTTCTTTTCTTTTTTTCTTTCTTTTTTTTTCTTTTTCTTTTTTTCTTTCTTTCTTTCTTTCTTTCTTTCTTTCTTTCTTTCTTTCTTTCTTTCGGTCTGTCTATTTATAAAAGTTATCTATTCAATATAGATAGATGGATAGATAGACAGACAGATCTCTCAAAAGCAATAAATCAGCAGCACTCAAGAGAGTGCTTTTTTCTATTTTCTCTCACAATGGTACAAACAAATGCTCTCCAAACTTTGATCACTGTGATCACTGAAGCTCTTAAATCACAACACTTCACTCAGAAACAGGCTTGTGATCTTCTTAAGTAGACTCCTCAGAAAATGTGCACCAAATAATACCATGAGTGCACTTCATGTGTTCTTGCTGAAAGGATAAAAACGCATGCCTCCTTTAGCTTCAAAGCTCAGTTTACTGCATTTATTTATGTATGCGTATGCTTTTATTTACCAGAAAAACCATGTGCTCTATACTGTACACCCATTGGCAGTGATGCACCAGTACTAGTGGCAGAGCGTGTGCAGGACGGCACGCCATGTGGACCGTATGAGAACGACCTGTGTGTGAGCGGAAAATGTCAGGTGTGTATTCACAAAATATTATTACAATATAAAATGCACATTTTCTCTTTTAATATATTTTAGAAATGTGATTTATTCCTGATGCAAAGGTGAATTTTCAGCATCATTATTTTAGTCTTCAGTGTCACATGATCCTTTGGAAATTATTCTGATATGATGATTTGCTTTTCAAAAATCATTTCTTACTATTATCAGTTTTTGTGTCAAGATTTTCATATTTTTTGGGGAAACTGTGATACATTTTTTGCCAGGATTCTTTGATGAATAGAAAGTTAAAAAGAAAATGTATTTGAAATAAAGCTCACTTTCACTCGGGGCGGGTCTAATGCTAATACGGTAGTGTCCCTCAACAGTCATGGGCGGGGCTTGATTTTTTTTATCATTATAGGGTGGTTGTGTACACATTTTTGTTCAAATACCATGTAAAAGTGAATTTTACATAATAGGTGCCCTTTAAAGGTCAGCAAAACATTGGGTTGAGTCTTTGTCCATCATTGTGCCATTGAAAATCATGAAAGTCATCTCCAACCATGATTGCGGTTGGTGTCTACCTGAGTTGACGTAATTTGCCATCGTTGCTTTTTTCAGTGATGTACGACTGAATATCCAATCTGTAAGTTAGCATAGTGTTAATATCAGATTTATATCCACATTTTTTCTGCTTAAACGTTTGTGGGTCATATCCGATCTGTGTCACATGGGAGGAAAGAACTGGAATTGGGTCACTTGAACCATGTAATATAAGTGTGGCCTTAAAGACACAATTAATACCAACTAGTATGTTCCAAAGCTTGGCTCCTCTTCTGCTACACACTTAAAAGTATATACTTTTTCTGTGCTCTTAGTTTAGTCACACAGCTTAGTTGTGACCGCTGTTTCTAGTCAACCACACTTTTGCTCAATGGCCACTAGTAAGAGCACAAGACTGAAAGGAGGTCACAGTCTGGAAGTCGCCTCCACTAATAGAAAGCAGGACTGAAGAAAAAAAAAAAAACAGGTCAAAGTGTCTGGAAGTGATTTTACTGTGTGCACTTTAACACACATACACACATGTGTGGTTACTGTAAATGAGTGAAGGAGGGATTCATCAGGCCTGAACATTGACTACATCACTTCATGCTATAATATAAACAATGCTTGGCCTTAGCAGATTCAGGGTCCGTTCCTGGCCTGGTTTTGCTGACCACAATCCCAGAATTGCTGTTTTGGGGATAGCGCTCATATTCACGGTCTGAATGCAGCTCTTGTATCATCTAGATGGAGTGAAAGGAAGATCACTGCCAGAATCCTCCAGTGAAAATATGATTTTAGTGACTTTTTCCTGTTTGTTTATTTGATTCTATGTTGTTCAGACTTTTAAGCAAGTCTATTAAGATCACTGACAGAGAATACCTGGATTTCATGAAGCAGGACATTATTTATACACAAAATCAAAACGAAACTATTCTTTTGGAAGTTGAAAATGTAAAAAAGCATAATAGGTCCTTAATAAGATAAATCTTTACAAAACAAAAGACATGAGTCAATTCATGAATCAGTAATTAACATTTCTGTACCTCATGAATTATAGAAGTTTTTTTTTTTTTTTTTTTACTCTGCCTCCTTCAGAAAATCGGCTGTGACGGCATCATTGGTTCATCTGCGAAAGAAGATCGGTGTGGCATCTGCAATGGTGATGGCAAATCCTGCAGGATCATCAAAGGAGACTTCAACCACTCCAAAGGGATGGGTGAGTCAGAGGAGAATAATAGAATCATTCGTGTTCTGACGTTAACACAAACTTAAAGCAGATCTCAGTCTTGCTGTAGTGCATCAACACAACAGGTCTTGTAGACTAAATTATACAAGAGGCTCAGTCTCTCTTACCTCTTCTGATGGGCCACCACTGCAGTTTCTTTGTAGTCGTCTTCAGTTTGGAGTAGTGAGTGTGGGCTTACTGAAGTTAACAAAGAACCACAGCGATTATACTCTTCCATTGACCATGTTGGTTTTGTGTCTCTCAGTCCCTCATAGCCTTTGTAAGAAGGTTTCTACGTGTGTGATGTCGAAACCCAGAGCTGTTCTCAAGTGTCTCTCATGTAAGATGCATGGTTTGACGTGTGTGTGTGTGTGTGTGTTGTCTATCAGGTTGTTTCGATACAGACTATTCTATGGGATTAACACCTAACTGCTCTTTAATAATTATTTTTAACACACCTTTATACTTTGAGAGTTGATGTAATTGTATATGCTACTGTTCAAAAGTTTATGATCAGTATGATTTTTATTATATTTATGAAAGAAGATTCTTTTAGTGTTGTTATTTTTAACTAAAAAAAGTTACACAGTGTACCTTTAAATAAAATTAGATTAGAAAACTTAAAAATGTCGCCTTTGGCATCTAACTAAAATAACTTTTAACTAACTAAAGTAATAAAATAACTAAAAATAAAATAAAAAATATTTTACAGATAAATGTAAATATTTAAAATAAATATGACAATAAAAATGTATTAAATTAATTTATTTGATCAAAAATATATCTAAAATTCTAAATATTATCAGAATTAAAATGACTTTATAAAACATAATTTATTCCTATGATGGCAAAGCTGAATTTCCAGCTGAATTTTTCTCTAGTCTTCAGTGTCACATGATCCTTCAGAAATCATTATAATATGCTCATTTAGTGCTTCTAGAAAACAATTAAATGTTGAAAACAGAATTATTTGATGAATAGAAAGATCAAACGAATAGCATTTATTTGAAATAGAAACATAATAACATTATACATTTGATAAATGGAATGCATCCTAACTGAATAAGATTTTTTCCAAGTGTTCCCAAACTTATGAGCAGTGTGTATAATTGTATTGGCTTCTCAAGTTAACATTTTCTTGTATTGTTTTTCAAAGTTGATCATGTCAAACTTCCATTTTTTATAATGTGACATTTTCATTTAACTGACATGTGAATGATTTAACATTCGAAAATGTTTTTTTGTCACTTGAAAATCTTTCAGCTGAGTAAGGCTCTTGCTCATGGGTTATATGTTATTCACTGGACTCAGTCCAGATGACAAGGTCACTGTGTGCCTCCCAAAACTGCTTTAATACCAAATGTCCCTATGGTCTTCAGCTATTCTAGCTTCAGGGCATTATCAGCTTGTCCACTGCTAAATGTGGGAATGTATGTATGCCCAGGCTGCCCTACAGGGAACGAGTCAGGACAAAATGAAATACTTTATACTCAGTTAGGAGTTGTTGCTGAGACAAATAAAGACTCTACTTTGTCTAAAGCTGCACACACTGTGCAATTATTGCTGTCTAGGACAAATTCAAGAGACTAAATCAGAAGTCTTATTATTTAACATTCCCATCATATTACGATCATATTGAAATTAACTCAAATTCACAGTCTACAAATTCCTCCTTTTCACAAATGCTTTTTTGGCTTTGTGCAAGTGGATGTGACATGGATTGATGTAGTTTTTTGCTTTGTGCAAATGAATGTGACATGGATTGATGTAGTAAAATGGCCCGTCAGTACTGTTAGTCTTGACTTACTATAACTAACGTGTGTATCATACAGTCTGACATGAAAGACACTTGATTTTATACAGTCTGCTTTTACTAAAGATCACATGTAATCTGACAAGCAAAGAAAAGAAAAGGCAAAACAATCATACAGTTTCAGGCATTTCATTGGCAAGGGCCACATAAAAAATGAATGCTAATGCTTTAATTTAATTCCTTTAATGTTTTCATCTTTTAAGTCTTTACATTAATCTTTTGGTCTTCTGAAACCAGTTCTCACTGTGTGAAGGTGTGTTTTAGTGGATCTTCAAGAGCAGCCAGGATTTTACTCTTATAGAGCAATTTGGCTCAGTCTTCTTCCACTTTCACATTTAACCAAATTCTTTGCAGCCTTTCTACTGGAAGTATTTTTCCCATTCCCATTCCATATGTACAGTACACTACTGTTAAAAATTTTGAGGTCAGTTTTTTTTAAGAAATTCATTCTTTCTATTCATCAAGGATCCTAAAAAAAATGTATCACAATTTCCAACATTTTTCAACATTGACAGTAATAAGAATGGTTTCTTGAGCAGAAAATCATCATATTAAAATGATTTCTGAATGATCATGTGACACTGAAGATTGTAGCAATGATGCTGAAAATTCAGCTTTACCATCACAAGAATAAATTACACTTTAATTTATATATTTTATTTTTAATTTGAAAAAAAAAAACATTTTTAAAATGTTTTTTGTCTTATTATATTTTTGATCAAATAAATGCAAGCTTAACGAGCATAAAAGTAAAATATATTTAATTTATTAAAAGATGTTGTAAGTTTGAGTTTGGAAACTTATTCAATTGCATCATTCTCCATGGAAGTGTGATATCGCTGCTCATACTCATTAGCCACAGTTCCCATGGTGACAGTTACTTAATTTAAAAATGAATTTGATTGACTTATGGCTTCTGAAGAATCACAAATAATCACTTTGCTTCAGAGCTCATGATAAATCTGTATTGAAACGTTAACATGTTACCACTAAACATGGATTTCTCTAAGAATCACTGTGTCCTGTACTTTCAGAGTGTGTTTATGAGTCTCTCTCAATGCCTCAGCTTGGTAAAATCATCTGAAAAGAAGCAGATATTTATCAGTATCAGTTTTATCAGTATCAGTAATTCTCTATCAGTCAGTCATGTTCGACGTTATAGTCAGAACGATTGACGAATTGGGGATTGCATTGCAGACTGCTTGAAGTGGGTCTTCACATCGTGCCATCCCTGTGCGCTTCAGCACTAAGCTTTTTCCCTAAAAGAGCAAGCGGAGGGCTAGCACCTTTTTCAAGACTGCTCTCCATCCATGCGTTTATGGATGTGGTCGTTTCCTGTCCTCATCTGATGGCCATGATTGCTGTCTCGCACGGCTAGTCGTAACTAAGCATGTTGAGAAGGCATTTGTGTTTGTATAGCCGGAAGGTGGAGCCTGTGCTAGACCCTTCCGGGTGAACCCACATGTGTATTCTCCCACACTACCGTTTCCCTGTCGGCAAGACCGAGTCTTTCCCTTGCCATCTCTGCCCGGTATTGACTTCACCCTAGCTAGGCTGGATATACCACAGAGGCCTTCCCATATGTAGTACTTCCCTAACGGTCAGTCCATTATGTGTAACTCCAAATGTTACCTGCCTATGGGCAGGATGTTGTCTCCATAGCTTTCCTTTCAATTTGAAATTGGCATGCTTTCCCAGTGTTATCCAAATAGTCTCACGGTGTGGGTAAGAGGGAAAAGCAGTGGTCGACTCTCTCTCTCTGCGTTAAAGTCCTGTCCTTTCTCTGCCCCAGCAGGTGTGGGGGGATTAGGTGACTTATGTGGGGCTCTGGAAGGGACTCCCATTGCAGTGTTTTTGTTGGAACCCTAATTCATCAGTTGTCGGGACGTAACGTCTGGGAACAGCTATAGGTTATTAATGTAACTTGCGTTCCCTGAAGGAGAGAACAGAGACGTTACGTCACGTTGCCACAATTGCTGTACCACCACTGAAATGGCTGTGACACCATCTCAGCTCCTCAGCGCAAAACTTGAATGGCTGAGTTTAGAATGCTTCCATTCAAACCAGATTTGCGGGATGTGGTTTGCGCTGCAAATCTCACTCACCAATGTCCATTGGTTTGTTTTGTTGACACTCGAAGGTGATTGGGCTCACAGGCGAGATCCCCAATTCGTCAGTTGTTCTAACGTAACGTCTCCATTCCCTCTTTCAGGGAATCGATGTTACATTAGTAACCTAGATGTTATCAATGTTGAAAACAGTTGTGCTGCTTAATATTTTTTTAATATTTATTTTTTTAGGATTATTAGATTATCAAAAAAGAATGTTGTAAAAACATTTATTTTTTAATTTGATATATAATTATTTTGTAGCAATATAAATGGAATGCATCCTTGCTCAATAAAAGTATTATTATATTTTAAAAATCCCAAACTTCTGAAAGGTAGTGTATGCTCAGCTAGAAGCATTACCCTCGTTTTTATATACTGTGTAAAATTGAAGAAAAAGTCCCAGACTGTTGTTAGATACTTACTGAACAATTACCCCAATGTCTGGGGCTTTAAAGGAGTAATTCACCCAGAAATGAAAGTACTGTCCTCACCCTTTATGTTGTTCCAAACACATGACTTCCCTTCTTTTACCGTGAAACCGAAAAATGGATGTCAGGTTAGAATCCAAGAGCTTTTGTTGTCCAAAGAATGAAAGTGGATGATGATTTATACAACAAATCTCCCTAAAATTACAACAACAACAAAAAAAATGTCATGAAAGCAAAATCATATAACTTGTCAAATAATGTAATATAAGTAATAATAATATAAACTCAAACATTTACCATAACATCATCATCATTTTTCATTTCACAGAGGACAGAAAATTATACATAGTTTACGCCTATGGGTGAACTATTCCTTTTTAATAGCTTGACATCACTGGTACAGTAGTGTTCCCTGACAAATTTGACTCCGTCTTCCAGGAGAGGCCAATAAACATTTGGCCGAAAATGTTTATTGGAAAGTCCTACTGTACATCTATATTCTTAACTTTCATTATTTGAGATTAATTACTTTCCATAACAAAACCAAATAGAAACTTAACCCTGAAAGTCAGGTCCTCCAGATGTGGTGGGATGTGGTGGATGAGTGTGTGTTTTTGATCTGGGTTTAATGTGTTTTATGCTAATCAGGTGGATGGTCATGTGGTGTTGGGTGTTTAACAGGGGGTGGTGGTCTTTTCTATGTGGAGTGATAACCGCATGTTTGTGATCATGCCTGAAGGAATACGGTGAGTTTAAGGCTACGTTCACACTGTCAGTTTTTGGGATTGACAAAACGAGTCTCAAAATGTCCCATTCACACAGCTTACAGCAGAAACTCTCTATATGACTGTGGAGTAATTCACCCAGTGGATTCAAGCCTGTATTCTCTCACCGGTTACCATAGCGACCGTGACCAATGTAATATCAAAGATGGCGACGTCCATTAAACTGAAAAGATTTATTACCTTTGACATGACAAGAGTCCAATCGAGCCATGAGTTAATTCGTCAAATCTTCATCAGCTTTTAGCAATTGAGTCAGCACACAGAACTGACAGGAGCCACTCCGGTGGTGGACAGTAACTGGATCTAAAACCTTCAGATGACACACAGCTCATATCTCCGTCGCTATAAGCTACAGACAGATGGTAGACACGTGTTTGAGCAGTGCACATGTCCAGTCCAGTCCGGTTCAGTTCACACAGCACAGGTTTTCTGAGATTGCGGTTGTGAATCCTGAAAATTTTGTTTGGTTATAGAATGCGGTTGTCACTACTAACTGTGTGTGAACGTAACCGTATTAAGGACTGAAATATAGGACTGACAACCATATTCTTTTCCTGTTTAAATGTGGCCTAAAACAGGTTTGTTGCAAAGTGTGGGCCTGTAAATGAAACCAACACTTCATTTCAGACTCTCAATAGTCATTTCAGACTCTAATCTCACCCTGCAAAACATGTTTCACGTAGCTGCCTGTCTGTGAGACCTCAGCGTCAAAGGTCTTTTCTTTAAATAAGCTGAACTGATGGCAATTACTCGTATATGCACTCGTGTGCTGTTATCTCCTTTCTTTCAGGGTCCTTTCCTTTTGCTCAGTGCAGTGATTTATTGATTGAGACTTATCCTAATCATTGTGAACGGTCTGCTTTGATTGGCCATGAAAGTACTCTATTTGAAGTGACATACACATGTACTATATGCACACGTGCGTCATATTTCCATTGATGTTTATAGAAACATGCACCTGTGCCTGCCTGCCCACCTGTGCACCAGTTTGAAATCTCACTCGTCTTTTTTCATTTTCCACTCTTCTTTCTCTGGTTTCTCCCCTTATTTCTCTCTCTCCAAAAGGTTACATTGAGGCAGCTGTCATTCCGGTGGGAGCTCGACGAATCAAAGTTGTGGAAGACAAGCCGTCCCATAGCTTTCTGGGTAATTACTCAACCTGTTACCATAACAACGGTCTTCCAAATGGCCACACAATGGATCACACTGAGATGGGACCAACTCGATAATGGCTGTAGATAGAAACTCTGCCAGGTGGTGTCTCTTGTTCTACGTTATGACAAATGACGCTTCAATGCTGACAAGCTGCTTGTCACATTAGGATAAAACTCACAATAAGGACGTTTTACACATATTTGCTTTATGCCGCTCTAAATCTGCAATACTAAGTAAACACTTTTTTTTTAGGCCTGGATATATTCACTTTTGTGAGTGAATGTCATAGAAAACAATGTCTGAATCATTTCTGATCATAGTTTCAAAACAATTAGGCACACTTATGCGTCAAATTCTAATTACATTTAATAATTTTTATTTAATAATATTTTAATTATATATATATATATATATATATATATATATATATATATATATATTTCACCTTAGACCTCTCATTATTTCTGCAATACAGTGTTGATTATTTATATTTCTATTCTATCCCATTTAATCATAATTGTCTATTAACAGGGTTGGATTCGTTCTTTCTTTCTTTTTATTTTAGGGTGAAATATGCCAGACATAATCTTGACTTTCGTGAGATTCACCCTTGTATTTAGTGAAACACACTTGAGAGAATGTTATAAATCTTATGAAACTTAATTAAGACTTTATTTGTCCAGCTGGCCCACAATTGATGAGCCTATTCATTGTAATTTAATTTATTTTAATGTCAGAGGTTTTTGAAAAGACGCCTTCAGCTTTCAGAATTAATGTGTCTTGTCATCCAATTTCACAGACATAATGCTGACAGATTATAATAACGCTTCACTCTTCATATTCTCAAATAAACATCCATTTCCCCAAAGGTCAGGATCACATGATTGCCAGGGTTGAAGTTATTAAAAATGCCCACAGTCTCAGATCTTATAGACTAAGTTTCAGAACATTATAAAGTTTAGACTTTATAAGATGCCTCCTTTCAGGTAAATATTTCAGCATTGCATGCATTTTGTTCTATAAAGCCTTTCAGATATCGTTGATCTGGCAGGATTCAATCTGTAATATATATACAGGAAGATGTAAACGTGTCTAGTTTGGGTCTGGTTTGCCATCTTTTGTCAGAGAACAGAATCATTTCTTTTTTCCAGCCAAAATCTTGAAGTGACATGAAAGTGAACCCCTCCCTTTGAGCTCAGAGCAGATGCTCTCCAAAACAAACCAGGCTATGCTTTCATTGCAGCAGACTGTGGGCAATCAGTTTCTACTGCTTAGAAACAATAATGTAGTCGTGTATGTGTATAAAAATAGGATGAATGTGAGGTAATGATGGAAGAATATTATGCAATAGCTCATTCGACTCAAATGCATGAACGGTGAGATTGTTTGAGGTGCATTTTAAAAGGGATTTTTTTTCTGGATTGTGTAAAGGCAGAGATGTTTTGGATAAAAATGCTGCAGAATATATTAAAATCCCCACCATTACTGTCATGAAGTATACCTTTATATTGGTGCTGTACCTATACATTAGGGGTCTTCAACAGGCATCGGAGGAGACCTATTTTAAAGAGGCCATATTATGCCCTTTTACAAAGTCTTGATTTAGTTTTTGGATTCAAAAAGAATATATATTCTTGTGAATCTTTACTGATATAGAGAATAACTCCCTTTGGGTGTGACTGTGTGCTTTGCAACTTTGCTGACCTTTTTCATATACTCAAAACAGCAACTTTGCACAAAATAAAGTTTCCAAAAGTGTAAAATTTCTTTTTTTCTGAAAAAATGTTTTCTTTTAAAACTGAAAATATGCTTTAAACAAATATCCAACATTAACTAAAGATCAGCTAAATATCGTGCATCCCACATTAAGTATGTGTATAAGTCAAATTAAAATGTAATGCATGTGACTGTACATCAATAATGTTTTTTTTCAATGATTTGTATGCAATATAAGTATCATACAGTTGGTACTGTAAATACTAAAATGAATATGGTACTATACACAAAAAGATTCACATGCATTTTAGGAATATATATTCTTTTCAAAATTAACTACTCATTCAGGTCTACATCATGTCAATATGTACACAATTATTTTGTTATATTTGATAAATGAGAGCGATTTGATGGAATTATGCTTGTGTAATGTGAATTAGATATATTTGTTCCTGTTTGTCTGGTGCAGCTCTGAAGGACTCCGGCAAGCAATCCATAAACAATGACTGGAAAATCGAGCTGCCAGGGGAGTTTGAGCTTGCTGGCACCACTGTCCGCTATGTGAGGAGAGGACTGTGGGAAAAGATGTCTGCCAAGGGACCCACTAAGACTCCACTCCATCTTATGGTAAAAACATTAGGTCATAACATCCACCTTTCTCTTTCTTACCTCTTTACTGTCTTTCACACGTTTTGTGATGCAGTGTGCTTGGGAAAACTCAGCGTAAAATTCCAGTTACGACTCATTTTATTTCTGTAATCACATGATTATTTAGAAACACTGAAGGACAGGACATGTTTTTATCAGGAAATTGAAAACCAATCATGAACATTGAATGAAAATTCTGTTTACTCGCCCCTACGTTCATTTATGAAAACTGTATGTAATGTACACTTGTAGTGTACTTTAAATCTTAAAAGGTATATGAAGAGTTCAGATGCAAAAGCCTCTAAATGCCATTTGAAATTTTCTTCTTTAATGATGATTTTTATCAAACTTGTATATTTAAGTTCAGTAATTTCACTTAAATAACAATTAATAGGTAATTACCATTGCCATTTAAGTGAAATCACTGAACTTAATTATACAAGCTTAATAAAAATGATCATTCTAGAAGAAAATTTCAAATGGCACTTAGAGGCTTTTGCATCTGAACTCTTCATATGTCTTTTTAAAAACTAAAACTGCAGATGTATGTTTAAGACACTTAATTCCATTTTGTATGGCAAATTAACCCCTGGTTTCACAGACAAGGCTTAATCTTGTCCCAGACTAAAATGCATGCTTGAGCTGTTTTAACTGACAGCAATTTTCAATGACATCTCTTAAATATGTCAGTGCCATTGTTTTGTCTCAAGATGCACACCAGTAATGTATTTTTTTTCTAAGGCACGTTTAAAAAAGCTACTTTAATGTCCTAATTGAACTAAGGGCTAATTCTGGCTTAATCTAAACCCTGTCTGTGAAACCAGGCCTAAACATTTTATTTTAAGTACATTTTAAATCATTATTTTAATTGTAGAAGCAATTATGAAACTACATATAAAGATGTACTTAAGCAGGTCAACAAAGCACTTTAAAGTTCAGATTTGCATTTAATTAAAATGTAAACTATAATATATATATATATATATATATATATATATATATATTCATTGTATCGTTTAATTGCAATCATTTAAATTCAGTTAGCATGCAATTCAATTTCCGAAAACTTCTTTTAAAATATTATTTCGATAATTTTTTTTTCTTTTAAAGTACTGTATAATGAAAGAATGAATTTTTCCGTGGAACACAAATGGAGAAATATGAAGGACATCCATTCAGACATCAGAAGCGAATTATGAATTTAATTTTGATCTATTTCTGGTATATTTTCATGATTTCAGAAGACTTGGAATGTAACACGAAAGTCATAGAAACTACTTAAAAGACTATTTATTGTTTTTTATTTATTTTTTATTTTTATTTTGGAGTGTCGCAGATGGTCACTATGATGATCTCTATATGGAAAGAGCTGCGTGAAGCTTCATCAAAAAAAAAATGTCCCCTTTTGTGTTCCATGGAAAAAATAACAGCATATGGGTTTGGAACAACATGAGGGTGAGTAAATAATGACAGAATTTTTCATTTTTGGCTGAATTGTCACTTTAAGAAAATGAATGCATTTTGATTTAATGCTGACTGTAACTGCCATGTTCTCCATGTTTCTAGTTTATTTAAAATATAATTATAGCATATTTGTTTTCATCCTGAACGACTTCATGATTAGCACAACATGTGATTTTATATTTGGAAAACATGGCAGCCTGCTAATCCAAAGCAAATACATAAATGGAATGGAAAACATATCATGCAAAATGTTTTGAAAGCAATAATGCAGATATTTTTGGGATGGAGCCACTGCTTAACCTGAAGTCTTCACACTGTTTTCTGTATTTCTTTCTGCTGTGCTGCATCGAACTGTTTTCGCGTTGTGATGATGAAATCATCTTGAGACTTTCTAGCAATTTTACACATTTCTCCAAACCAAGGTCCATGCTTTCAAAATAATTAATACAGCCTTTTTACGCTTTTAATTTTATATTTTTCTTTTTTTTAATTATTATAAAAGTAATTCAAAATGTTAATAGTAAACATTAGTCATTTTTTATTTATTTATTAATTTAGTGAGTATTTTAGTAATTACTTTTTTCATTTTAATCTCACCCAAACAATAACTTTCTGTATCCACTACTCATATTGTACACATTTCTACATTTGGAAGGTGTTTTTATCCAAAGCAACTTGCATTGGAGGTATTCAAGGTATACTGCAAAAAAATGATTTTCTTCTTCAGTATATTTGTCTTGTTTTCCATTACAAATATCTAAACATTTTTAAATCAGGATACACTTGAAAATGACAAGTGAAAAATTACTTAGGAAAAGTCAAGCTTATTTGCCAATGGGACCAGAAAAATGAACCTAAACTTAAATTCGAATGGAAAACAAATTTATATTTCTTATTTTTATAATTTTGATTTAGATTTTTTTTTTTTTTTTCAGAAAACAAAACATAATATCTTTTTGCTCTCAAGTAAATTGATCTTGATTTAAGAATGTTTAGATATTTGTACTGGAAAGTTTGACAGAACAGCTTTAATTTAGAAATTCAAATTGTCAGTTTTCAAAAAGTTGTCAAAAGAATTTGGATTCATCAATTGGTTTATAAGATACGGGCCGTTTCTCAATATGCGTTCTTGTCTGTAGCCTACTTGTGTTCTTGTGGACTTGTGAAATGTCATCAGTCACTGCCCAAGCACTTTTCCATTTCAAAGTTCACATAAATCCCCAGATGTTTTCTTGATCCGCCCCTTTTACAGAGGATATATCGAGGTGACTTGTGCAGACTTGAGACAGCCAGGTATAATAGAATGCATCTCGTACCAACCAGCAAGATTAGAAAACCTGTGTATTTTTTAAATGCTATGTTGTATCACGAAATGTAGTTTTAAGAGTTTAAAGTTTAGGTCCTTCTTGTGCCAGAGTTTATTTTTTTATTTTTAATGTTGAGTAAAAGAAGAACTGCTGCATTTTTAAACATCATGCTTTCCTCTCTTCTGTCACTGACCTGTAACATTTTATATATCCTAATAATGTTGAAAATATATGTCAAGTAAACAGACATGATTAATTATTTTGCTGTTAATTTAAAATGAAGGCTATTTTATTTGTTATCCATCAATTCATTAATCTATTCTTCAAGCCGATTGGGAGACCATCCCACAGACAGAAATATATTAAATTATTAAAATGATTTTTTTTTCAGGCTGAAATAAGTGATTTTCTCACTTGCCACTTTTGACACCAGTATCTACTGTATTGCCAACTTGCTTCATCAAATCCAAAATACCATCCACATGGGCTATTTATGCTTGGACTCTGATTATTGCTGCTTTGCGGCTATATTTATAGATTAGCATATTACTGCTCATTATCGAATGAAACCCAGTCCACTAATCCTCTAATTCAAGCACGTTAGTTCAGTTAATGTCTCCTCAAAGCTCTTTATGATGAAGAGAATAGACTTGTAATCTCCATTCCCTCACAGTCACCAAGAGTTTAAAGCAAAAAGGTTTGTTTAGTCTGGAGTGCTTGAAGGTGTCTTGAGAGAGATCTCTAATTAATATAATGAAGCAGGCTTTAGAAGATGCTTTCCTCACAGACGTCCTCTGGCGCACAGATGCTCCACTTCAAACGGTCAGAGTGTTATCAGACCCATTTAGAATATTTGAGCTAAATTTCTAATGTGCCTCTGGTCAGCTTTGGAGCTTCTGATCGAGGTTTTTTTTTTTATCTTGAATTACTAAATAGATGCAAAATACTTGGTGAGAATTAGGTGAGAAAAATCTGTAGTGTGCACAATGCCGTATAATCCATATGAACATTTAGGCCTTTGAGCCAATCTTGAACTGAGTGTGGATATTCACTTAAAGACTTCACCATGACATTTCATTGGCATGTGGTGGTATGTAATTAAAACATAATTCCTTTCTTTGAATTGTTTAATCCAGTGATTTGAAGTTGAATCTCACAAAACAAGTCATATGAACTCAATTCGAAAGGAGAGAAAAAAAGAGTGATATATTTTGCAAATAAAGACTTTTTTGGCCATTTTTCTTTTTTTTACATTTGGCATTGAGTACATTTTGCATGTATTTGTTTAATGCTCATTTAAAGGACACATCACAGAAAATGTGTTAATATCTTAAAAAATATCTTAATTTTACTTGGGGTGAAATGTGACTTGGACACTGTATATTTTGCGCATCTTCTGTTGGCGGGCTTGTTGGGTGTTTTATATGTACTTCTAGTTGTTTGGATGTTGTGTGTAGTTTCATTCATGTCATTAGCCTCAGGCTGATGGGAAGTCGGCTCTTATTGAGAGGCTGCGAACCTCCACTGTCTGCACAGTAAGTGAGGAAAATGGCCATGAGATGGATCTTGTGATAAACTAAAGAGTGTGCTGGAGGCCAGAGTCTAGTCTTGTCCCTGGAAATGATTATGGGAATGAATGGAAGTGACCTCATGGCACTATGGTAGCCATTTAAAATCAGACCTTGCGCTTGTTCACAGAGATGTACTATTTGGCCAAGAGTATGCTGACACCTTATAATGCTTTTTATTAAAGGGTTAGTTCAGCCAAAAATGAAAATTCTGTCAGTATTTACTCACCCTCATGTCGTTCTAACCCCGCAAGACCTTCGTTCATCTTTGGAACACAAATTCAGATATTTTTGATTAAATCTGAGAGCTGGATCACTCCTGCATACTAGTCCATAGGCTTCTTGAGGAATTGAAACTTGCCGGCCTCAAAGTTATTCGAGGTAATAGTCCAAGTGACTTCAGTGGCTCAATCTTAACTTTATCAAGCGACGAGAATACTTTTTGTGCGCAAAAACAAACAAAAATAACGACTTTATTTCAACTATTCACTTCCTCGATTGGGAACCACAGCAACTCAGCCACGAAGTGGTAAGCCACGTAAAATCACAGAGCAGGATACAAATACCTTTTTAGGGTTAAAATTCCTGTGACGCAAAGCTGAATTTTTCAGCATCATTACTCTAGTCTTCAGTCCACATGATCCTTCAAAAGTCATTCGAATATGTTGATTTGCTGCTGAAGAAAGACGTTTTGCTGCCTAATTCTTTGTGGTAAAAGTTATCTGATAAATTTTTTTGGTTTTTCAGATTTCGTTTATGAATAGAAAGTTCGACAGCATTAATTTTAAAAAAATAAACCTTTTGTAACATTATAATTGTATTTACTATCACTTTTTATCAACTTAAAGCATCTTTGCTGATTAAAAGTATTATCTTGGACCAAACTAAACGTAAACAGCCTGAATGCTCTTCATCTCACTTTTCTCCCAGGTTCTGCTGTTCCACGATCAAACGTACGGGATCCACTATGAGTACACGGTTGCCCTGAACCATTCGCAGGAGAACAGCAGCGATTCGGTAAAAGAGCCAGAGCACATGCACCTGTGGACTCACAGCAGCTGGGAGGACTGCAGCGTGCACTGCGGAGGAGGTCAGTGCCGGCTGTTACCTACAATCCCTCTGGAGGGTTCATTTCTTATTACTCTTTGCAGTTATTCTCGGGAGTATTAGAAGCTGATCAGGAAAGTTTCCAATTCTCTTAAAGGTTTCAAGAGATTCCATTTCAGCCTTGGCCTTAAGCTGTTAACGTATACGCCTGCTACCCAGCTGTCTTTCTGCGATACCGTGTGACTGTTATGGTCAGCACAGCTGTGTGATTATATCTAGCAGGTTAAAGCCCCAAAAATAATAATTACTGCTATGAAAAGAGAATGAGGGAGATCTCAGACAAATTATATCAGTGCTAATTGACTCGTAAAGGAAAGAAACCTGCAGAGAGAGTCATTGTAGAGATGTTGTCAGTGTAAGTCGTCACATGTGGTGGAAGTGTTATTCACTTGAGACTAAACATGTCTTCTGTACACATAAAATAACCTGACACTGTAAGGCTGTCTCATTTTCTAAGCCTGTCCGAGCGTGACAGTTTTGCTGGTTATATTCACAAAACTTATAGCAGACGAACATTTATCTACAACAGACCGGTATGCAGTCTCTTCTAAAATGGCTTGCATTTTAATGTCTTTAAAATCTGCTTGTATCTTTTATGTGGTTATTGCTTACTAAGGGCTGAACGGAAAGTGTCATTGTCTGTGGGAAGTGTTGCATCAGCATTTATATTTGCACACAATAACATATGAGCAATTTTTATGTTTTACTTTTAAATAATGTGTGCTGCTTTGGGTTTTTAAGGGCATTTTCGAAAAGTTTTAGGTTTTCCACACAAGCTGGAAATCCATTTCTGCCCTGAAAAAGCTGACGAGATTTGCTGTACCTATTTTTGGAAACTTCTAGACACATTTATGAAATAGTTGTTGCTTTGTGGTCAACATTATTCCTTAATAATTGGAGGTAAAACTTTCTTCATAACTTATAACTAGATGTCGTCTTTACTTGCTGTTTTAGTCCTGATTAGCTTCAAGGATCCCCAAGAGATTTTCTCAACTGGAAAGGGATTTTGTGAGTGTTCAGTATATACTGTAGGGCAATAATAGGCCAATGATTATCTATCCACATTCATGCAGAAAATCACAACTCTTCAACAATGCAATTCAAAAGTTATCTGAAAGTGTTAAGTGAGCCTTTATTTCAGAGGAGGCCAATTTACAGACAGATGGGAGACACTAAGGACACTCTACTGTACTGGGGTGAAAGTGTGTTGCCTTGGAAACCGTTGTTAAGGGGTTGTAGGAGAGAGAGCAGAAGTGTCATGCCCATTCAAAATAATGTGCCTCCTCTGATTTTTGGAGGTAAAGTGGTTGTCAAAGTTAGTATTGTAGCTTAATGTATGGTCACACACTTGCAGGTGTCATTATATTATTATTTACGATTGACCAAAACCAAGCTCAAATAAAGTTTTATCACCAGAGAATGTCAGAGATTTGTCACTCGAATGGACGCATCTGAGGCAGTAAGTGCACTGCATCATGTTTTCATCAACTTGCAGGTTACAATGTTTTTTGTAGCTATGTAGGCGTTCAGTTTTTCCTGTCGTTTACATTTGGCCAAAAATTGCTATTTGCTATTCCCAGGCTGTATTGGCTATGATGGGAAATACCATACTAAGACTCCTTTCCACTCAAATACATAAAACACTAGCCTTTACAAACGTTGTTTTTTTTTTTTTTTTAGTAAAGAAAACACTATTTATTCAAACAACTAGTTCTTTATTTACCCTCCAAAATCTGTACAGCACTTCATTCTAAATGGAGGCGGGTGGAGCTACTCTATTCCTCCTTTTCCACCAAAGCATTTTAAAAGCTGGTTCGGAGAACTAGTTCTTTGTGTTTCGACAGGCAAAGAACCGGTTCTCGGCCAGGAAAATTGGTTCCAAAGCGGCACCAACTCTTTGCTGGACTAGAAACGTTCTTTTACCATGCCATGCTTACGTTGGGGGCTGTGGACGGGGTTATTGTGACAAACAACACGACGGGAATGGGAAAGCCAAGACGTATGGCGACGTACACAGTGACATAACGTTGTCGTTCGCTTGGCTCTCTAGTTAGTGGAAAAACAAACAGGTTATGAGAAGGTTCTCGATTTGAAACCAACTTTGAACCAGCACCAGTTCCGAACCGGTTCTTTTTTTTTTTTTTGGGTGGAAACGAGGTATTGGGGATCAGCTTGAGGATCCACTGGAGTTAAGAAGTTTAATCACAAGCTCTTTTCAAGCTTTTGTTTAAAGCAGGGTTCCTCAAATCCAGCCCTGGAGGGGCACTGTTTGACCGCTCACCTATCTGCAATTTTCCAGTAACTTTGAAGACCCTGATTAGCTGGTTCACTTGTGTTTGATTGGTTGGAAATAAACTCTGCAAGTACTATAAATACTATAAATGCAGTACTATACTCCATAGCACACTATGTACAATAGTACATCGTTAATTAGATTTAACCATTTTTATCATTTTGTTAGCATTAAATGAAATATACACTAACGCTCAAAAGCGTGATTTAACATGCTTGACACTCGTTCATTCAACAGTTGACAGTCATTCAAGTTATAACGATCCAAACTAGCTAACGATGTGGGAACACAACCTCAACGAAATTCAAAAGGGTGAAATAACAGTACCTTTACCCTCCGCAGTCGTTGATTGGGAGTATTATAATAACATTATTAATAATCAATACTCATCAAGGCATGGTGACAGACAGTTGTGCGAGCTGACAAACAATTAAAATAAAAAATACACACTTAGTCATTGTGCTTTGGAGTTTATTCAAAATTATAAATGAATGTGCTACTTGAATACATTAACTGGCACATTTGGTATTCTGTCAACTCAGGCTTTGATCCTGAGTTTAGCTGTAACATCATAGCGAACAGCCAAACACATGCTGATAGAGTTTATAGAATATTAAGAATTTAAACAAATGTACACAGGAAGATTCGTCGTCTTTTGGGAGGTGATGGAAACTACAGTCGTTGGCAGGATCACTGTGATTTCGTTTTCAGCTTATGTTCAAAACAATCACGTTTAAGCCACTGAATTAGTTTAGTCCGGTTATACATACAACCGCGAACAGCACATGTTGTCCATGAACTCCGTAACACCATCTCTCATAAAGATTTGCGTCTTTAAATAGTAAAATAATTCTCCGAAAAACAGCTAGCCTCTTCGCTAACTAACACACAAAATACCATTGGAATGCTACTTCCGCCGCCTCACCGGAAGTTTCACCCACTTTATTTTTTACAGGAGCGCCCCTCGGAAACTTGTGGATATTTAAAATGTAAATTAAACAAAGTTGAATTTTAACCATCATTACTCCAATCTTCAGCGTCACAATGATCCTTTAGAAATCATTGTAATACGCTGATTTTTTTGCTCAAGAATAATTTCTTATTATTGAAAACAGTTGTGCAGCTTAATATTTTTGTTGAAACTGATTTTTTTAAATTATTTGATGAATATAAAGTTTAAATGAACAACATTTATTTGAAATGTAAATCTTTTGTAACATTAATGGCTTTACTGTTGTTAGCGTTGGTTCCTGAAGAGACGAAACAGGATCTAAGTGCATGCAGCAGTCTTTGTTTAGCGTAAACTCAATCTTCACAAAACAGAATCCCAGGAACAGAACAAACAACTTAACAAAACAGACCTGAACGACACTCAGGGCTTAAATAGACAGAACATCCAATCAAATAAATTTGAAACACCTGTGACAACTAAATCAAACCATTTGTAACCTAGGAGACTAACAGGCAGGGAACCGCAGGATGACAGGACTAATTAACAGAGCAAGAAAAACAACCTATACAGACATTACAGAACAGAAGAGGAGATGAAAAGCAAACTCAAAACATGACAACTGTCACTTTTGACCAATAATGCATTCTTGCTAAATAAAATTTTCAATAAAAAAATGTTAATGGCTCCAAATTTTTGAATGGTATAATGTAAGGCCTATTTGTAGTCAATATTCCACTCGACTCGAGTTTGGTTGGCATGTTGCTAAGCTTGCATCAATCATCATTCAAAAGACATTCCACAGTGACTTTTTTGCCGTGAGTTCATTGTAGTGCATTGTGGGATTGACTTATCCATGAATGATAACATGCACTCTAAAAAAATGCTGGGTTGTTTTATCCCAATTTTGGGTAAAATATAGACAAACCCAGCCATTGGGTTAAAAATGTAATTTAAAAATGTAACCCAATGGCTGGGTTTGTCCATATTTTACTCAAAATTGGGTTAAAACAACCCAGCGTATTTTAGAGTGTGTGATGCTGCCTTACAACAGGAACAGGTTTTGCATCTGGGACACCCATATGATGCCTAAAATGCTGACTAGGTACTGGGCAGCACACTTTTTTGAACAGAACTAGTCTCTCTTTCTCTTAGGCTGCCCTTCTCTGCTCGCTGCCCTGAGGAATTAATCTCTGTTTCTGACTGCTCGTGGTTTTTCTTGGCAAACGTAGAACACAAAATTAATGACATGGCTAATCCTACAGTCTGGCATGCCGCCACCCTCTGAAGTAACAACAACATTAAGAATTCACAGCAAATTAAAGGCCCCGAGCAAATTCAGTGCCGAGTTTGTGCTTCCCCCAACTGCTAATTTGGTCTTGACCAAACACCCCCGACTCTATAGATAACCACTTGAAATATCTTTGTTATCTCTATTTTGAAATGTTTTGTTCTGCAAATACCTGAAATCAGACATGGCTGGTTGGGAGGTCAAAGTGGACAAGAATGGATCAGATGGTATGAAGGTGCTCACACGTGCCAGAGAAAACACTGTTTCTCCTGTTGTGGTTAAACACCACAGTACAGAGTTACTGCAGTGCTTGCCAGAGCCCTCGACGCAATCCAAACATTAACATCCTTAGTGGATTGTTTGTTAACTCGTGCAGGCATCTCAAAGCAGCCATAAAGACAATTATTATTATATAATCATGCTTTTTTTTTTTTTTTTTGGTAAGTTTAAGCAGTTCCTTATGACATCTAAATCAACTGCTATAGACAGTTCTGGCTCTGATTGGTTGGAGTATTAATGTAGAATGTACATCTTTACGGTGTATAATAATATTAAGAAATATTAATAGTGCATACTATTTATTTTTACATGTATTTGTTTATTAAGCATTATTTATTACATTTGTTTAATTATTTATTAAGTTATTTGTTATAATTAGTTATTAGTAGGCTGTGCAAAAATTTATTGTGATTAATCGCATCCAAAATAAAAGTCTGTGTGCTGTATATAATTATTTTGTATATATAAATACACACACATGCATGTATATGTTTAATAAAATGTGTTATTAATATATATATATAATTTATATTTATATAATATAGATTATGTATTTATATATATATATATATATATATATATACAGAATTTAAGCGCAAATAATTCTTAAATATATATATACATGCATGCATAGTTATTTATATATACAAAATAATTATATACAGCACACACAAATATATTATGTAAACACAGACTTTTATTTTGGATGCGATTTTATTTTGGATGTGATTAATCGCAATTAATTTTTGCACAGCTCTAGTTATAAATAGTTAAATATATAATATATTAAATAGATAGCCGTCACATTCATGTCTTGTCTAGTTCATAGTTTTATTTTCATGTTCGGATTAGTTTAGTTTGCATCGTTTTCCCTCTCACCTTTTGCCTGAGTTCTCGTTCATAGTTTGATCGAGTTCTGCACCTGTTTCTTGTTCCGTTGATCATTCGTTCTGAGTATTTAAGCCCTCAGTTATTTCTGTTCATGGTTCGGTGTGGTCAATGTTAATGTGTAGTTTGTTTGGTTATTCTTCGAGGCGCCCAACATTCAACCTGAAAATAGTCATGTAACTATTGCAACCATTTTTTTAGGGTGACTGTGTAACATTCTGTCAAGGGTCTACGGATGAAAAATAGCCTCTTGGGATAATTCTGTCACGTTTACACTTGTTTATTAATGTACATTGACCCTGTAAATAAAAAAAATAAAAAAAAATAAAAATAAAAAAAACTCCGAAGTACTCCGAAGTCCAATTCAGTTAAGGTAAAAAAAAAACTGCATAGTGCTACTTTAATTTATGTCTAAGAAAATGTTTTGTTTTGTTTCAGGAGAGAGAAGGACTGTGGTGTCGTGCATGAAAATCATTAACAAGACCATGACTCAAGTAAACGACAGCTACTGTCAGGTGCAGAACAGACCTTCACCTCAAATCCGCTCGTGCAACATCCACCCCTGCCAATACAGGTACCAGCTATACCAAAGCTACGACAAAATAGAGCATTTTACCTGATGTGTGTGTGAGCAGTGCATTTTTTTTTTGTGCTGTCAGCTTACACTAAACAAGAGCCTGGGTTTTGGAGCAGAGCTTGGTTCTCCTCTCTTTTTCTGGATTCAACAAACAAATTGTGGATAATGTTCTCAACAAATCCACACATGACAAAAGACATACAAACATAATACGAAACCTATTCTGTTGCCGTCATCTCTATACAGATGAAAGCCGTGACACAACTTGAGTAATGATCCTTGAGGAAGAACATGCATCAGAGAAATGATTCTTGGCAATTAGCTGTACTGCTTTTCAAAAGATATATTTTTTTCCCTGGGAATACGTATCCTCTCATTAAACTCAAGAATCAATATTTTACTCTCTCTCTCTCTATCTATCTCTATCTCTCTCTCTCTCTCTCTCTCTCTCTCTCTCTCTCTCTCTCTCTCTCTCTCTCTCTCTCTCTCTCTCTCTCTCTTTTGCTGGTCAGTTTATTACAAGTTTGACCTTTTCTTTTGATGCAATTATGCAATTAAATCTTTTATATGTCATTTGCAGATTATTGTTTTTTTACTCATAATACAGATCATGCTAGCTTGCAGTAGTGTCAAAATTAAATAGAAATATTTGTACTGTATAATGTGTGATAAAATCAGATTGCTCTGATTCTTTTAAGGGGCAATTATGTCTCACATTTCACACTTTAGATGAGATGGAATGAAAAATATTGATGTGAAGTTATTAATTCAGTGCAGAAAATTCTGGTTCACTTGAGTGAACAAGAGATAAATATCATGCTTACAGAATTATAACTTCATTTGTACATTTTTCTTGATCTAACAGTACAGGCCTGTTCACACCAAGAATGATAAATATAACGATAACTATAAAAGCATCCACACCAACAGACGATAATATTATGTTTATTCTAAGCTTGTGCTTCAGGGTATTAATTTCAATATTTTTATTTATGAGCTTGAAAAAAAAAGGGATTCCAACAATATTATTCCTCTATGCCGCTATTGTTACATTTTTGTTGAGGACTGCGAATTATGGGTTATGGACATAGTTATCGCTCTTGATATAAAATAAAAATATAATATAAATAAAAAAATATATATTAAATAATTCTCAGTGGTTGCTATGTGGATGCTTATTGGTCCATTCTGATCTCTATATATGGCACATGTGGTGTTTTTCCCCCACTCCTTTTTATTGGTAACCAGATGTAAGTGTCACTCAGAAAAGTAATTGCACACCTCTTTTTCTGTCTATAACTGCAAAATTGGTTTTCGTGCTTGTAAGAATGAGGTCTAATTGAGTGTTGGACAGAACAGCTTACTTTAGGTTTCCAGATGTCTGGCTGTCATCTTTCATCGTGTTGTTTAAGCAGTATATAAATACAGCTCTGTTTTTATTCTCTTTTTTATCTGTTGAGATTTTCTGCACATAAATCACAAGTTCATTTCATGCCCACTTATGTGACAATAAAGATAATCTGTTATTTTCAATCATGCTGCAAACATACTTAAAACACCTATATTTTATCATGTTTCCTGATTAAAAGATTTGGTATATTGTAGCGTATGGTGTGGGTGGTATTATTTGTCACATTACAGAAGTATTGTGTAAAGGGTTTTATTGGATTGCAAATGGCTTCACACATTGACTTTAAGTACTTGTATCAGAGACAGTGTATCAGTGTCTTCTCTGCTTTTTCTGTCCTTCTCAGGTGGGTTACTGGCGCTTGGACGCAGTGTTCATTAACCTGCGGTAAAGGATTGCAGCAGAGGGAAGTTGGCTGCGTGTATCAGTTGCAAAATGGCACATACATTCCTACCAGAGACCTGTACTGTCTCAGCTCCAAACCAGCTGGCGTACAGCACTGCGAGGGACGCCACTGCCTCACCGTGTGGGAGGCCTCCGAATGGTCCAAGGTTTGAGCTCAAGTCAGCAGAAATGATTTAAATACCACATCATGGACAACAGGATTGTGCTCTTGCTTTTGTGAAATACATTTGAGCTACCGTTTAAACATATTTTAAGAGGCCCTTTCACTTATAAAGAAATGTTTAAGTGAGTGAAAGATGTTTAAGTTCAGAAATGTGGGTGGCCCTTTATAAAACAGGGTGGGAAAAGCGTACAGGATGAAAACTACGCACCAAATTACACCGTTTCAGGTTCAAAGTTTCAAGACAGCAAACAACTTTCCACAAAAAAAATCCACAAACTTAAAATGCTGCTTTAAATGAAGTATAATCAAATTGCCTGTACAAGTCATTTCAACTTAAATTATATTAAATTGAAAAATCCATTTTTACATTTTTTTTACAAATATTTTGTAAAAATCAAGTTGAATCTCAAATAACTTATTAATGAGAGTTAAAATTTGTAAATTATTTTTACGAGTTGAAGTAATGTATATGTTGCTATTAATAATTTTTTTTACAGTGAATGAAAAAAACTCTTCCATTTTCTATCAAGTATGTTAATATAAATATTATATGAATTTGTGTTTAGAATGTTTTTAACTATAAACATTTATTTATTTATTTCGAGCAATATATAATTACACATGACAAGGCAATAAGAAGCATTTTGATTAGTCTATACAAGCCTTTAAATTCATCATACTTTCATCAACTTTAACAAATAATTCCATCTATTACTCGAAACGGAGTGTGTAGAAGTCAATCTTACATTGAGAAAATGTTTGTACTTACCTTTAAATACTCCTGAAATATTAGTCTGAGATGACAGAATTTCTGGTTAAAAACATGTCTCTGTCAGTTCGCTTTAAAGGAATTACCCGGATTCACTGCAAATAGCCTTGGTTTCTTTCAGCATTTGTGTGCTGCGTTTTTAGAATGCAACTAAAGTTGTGAGGCAGGAACACAATAGTCAAAAACGTCCATCTAGCGCATAACAATAGAAAAACTGTGCTATAGAATTCAGAAACACATTCTGTATGAATAGCTCCTTATGATGTTAGAATGAGCACAGAGTATAAAGCCCCTTTTTTGAGACACATCCTATACCATATGTCGTAAATGTGTTCTGAGGTCACCTGAAATGGGCTTGCATGTGTCTGTGGGGCTTTGTCCTGGCCTATGGAGGGCACTGTGGTCGTTTTTCAGCCTCTGCATTTCATTTCAGATCTTCATGTTGTTGATATTGTAAGCACTTCATTAGAGTGGATTCAGTCAGTGGAGAGAAGCATTAGTGAGACTCCACAGGATGTCTGTTTTAATGACCAGCACTCTTCCCATCTCTTGCTTATGTCTTAATTTATCTCCATCCTTCTTTGCACCCAATTGCTCTCTTATTTTCCTCATGTTATACTCTGACTCACTGAATTCTCCTTGTCTTCGTTTGTCCCAGTGTTCCTCTGAATGTGGCCGCGGAAGCAGAAAGCGGACAGTGACCTGCACAAATCCTCAGGGTCTCTGTGATCCCGTGTCTCGTCCCACAGAGGAGGAGATGTGTGAGGATCACTCCAAATGTTACGAGTGGAAAACCGGTGAATGGTCTAAGGTAGGGTGAGCAAACAGTCGACATAGAAATTACACTTTAAAAGCCTGGGTCAGTAAGAGTTTTTTTTTTTTTTAAGAAATTGATACTTTTATTTAGGAAGGATGCATTAAACTATTTAAAAGTGACAGTAAAAAGATGTATTATGCTTTCAAAATATTTCTAAATTAAAAACTTTCTATTCATCAAAAAATCCTGAAAAAAAAACCACATCATGATTATTTTTCACAAAATCATTAAGCAGCACAACTGTTTTCAATCTTGATAATAATAAGAAATGTAATAAGAAATGTTTCTTGAAATCCACATATTAAAATTATTTTAAAAAAAAAAGGATCATGTGACACTGAAGACTGGAGCAATGATGCTAACAATTCAGTTTTGCTGTCACATAAAAAAAATCCCTTAATAGCCACTTATGTGTAAAGATGTATCCAAAGATGTATGAAACCTAGTACACTAAAAACAATTTAAAAAACAAAATGCACACGTTTTAGCAGAGACATCTAGAAACATAAGCTTCACATTTCTGCGATTAAATCCTCCAAAAACTGTCCCCATTTACTTCCATTGTTTTTTAAACCAAAATGAGGAATAAATGAAAAAATATATATGGTAATCAGCATTTTTCTACAAATGCTTTCAGTTGAGCTTAACTTGTGCTGAACCCGAAGTATTCCTCTTCATAACGCATTCTGCATGTGTCCAGAGGTCTTCAGCTGAATCAGTGTTTGTTGCATTGTCACATGTGATGCATTTGGGCTGTCACTGGTTACCTTGCGTCAGCCCCAGTGGAGCTGACTGCTGCGGCCCAGGGTCGACATCATGCCTATAAAGCAGCATCTGTCTTGTTCCTTCTTTCTCCTGAGGTTGGCGTTCCTCAGTAATGAGCTCTCGCCATCTCAGTGCAGTCACACCATTATCATAGTGCGGCTGCTTATGGCTCAAGTGCACTGGGTGGAAGAACTTTTGTCGAAGGACATTTGGGAAAAATGCTCATTCAATTTATATTTTTCCTTAGCCAATGTTGATATAGGGTCGTCGATGATCAATATAATGCTGTTTACACTAGAAGATGTAGTAACTGAAATGTAAACTAAAGCTCCGTTCACACCGCCAGCGATTTTGTTGCTGTGTGTCGCTAGGCTCTATACTGTGATGTCGCTTGTGGGCGTTCGTAGTGCTGTCGCTCTGATGTTATTGGTAGAGTGCACGTCTGGCCATATCTATACAAAGGACCACCACAAGTGATATATAATTTTAATTTGACTGGGAATAAATGACTTTTAAGGCTAAAAAGAAACCATATGCTGTTGGGAGGGTATTTTAATATCTCCACAGCTGTGTTCAGTGGATTAAATCATTTACTAGATCAACGATCGATCAGTGAACAAATTAAACTCACTTATACTGTCACAAATAATAAAAACGTCATTCGAATTTGACAAATAATCCATTTTGTTGTCCTTAATAGTCAACGTAATGCAGGGGAAATTGTAAAATGAACTGCAGCTAAACGTGCATCATAAAATTACAACACTCGAACTATAACGTTAAATGTATGAATTAAACTCACTGAGACTGTCGACAGTTTCTTTTCCATGCATCATTTTATTATCCATGTACTGTATGTGGTTACAGTCAAATCATATAAAACAGTGAAATCGTCCTCAAACTCTTTCTTTCTGTCTTGCCTGCCCCGCACTCGAGACGGTGACGTGAGCTCCACTGAAAGTCTTCTTTCCTATTGGTTGTCGCTCGCTAAAATCGCTTCTCATTTGCATAAAGTTGAAAATTCTCAACTTTTGTCGCTTGTCTCTTGTCGCTTGACACGCCCACATTCTGTCGCCAACGGTCACTGTCTCTCGTGTCGCCGGATGTCGCCAGTGTTCCATTGAAATGAATGGGATCTTGTCGCTTTGTCGCTGCGTGTCGCTGGCGGTGTGAACGGGGCTTAAGGGTAATAGTTATAGTCTGCAATTAGTACACAGGTGTTTTGTGTCCTGTATTTTAGTGTGGCTAGAATTGCTGCAAATTGATCAACCAGATTCTAGGTGCAAATTTATGCATTTTATTAAAAAAAATATAACAAGAAATGGAATTGCTTCAAGCAGCAATTAGCAGGGTCAAACACTGGAATGGCAGCATTTTATTTGACATATTTTTGGTCAATTTGAGGCACTGGGGACCATGGATTCCATTGAATGCATGTTTTCATGATGTAAAGCACTGACAAGATACAACATCAAAGCTACAGCGTCAGTTACATTTGCTATCAAGCTTGTTTATTTAGCTTGTTGTTTATTGGAAATAAATAGGGAATTCAATTCTCTTTGGACATTCAGGTTTAGATAAAGGGGAATACTATATAAACTGTTTCTGATATCATTCAAAATGGCAGACAGGTAATATAACAGAACTCAGAAATATGGCACAATATGGCAGTAAGGTCAGTTGTAATTTCCATTTCGTGCTATCTAAAGTTTCATTTTAGATGCATGCTCTGTGTTAATTTTTGTAGCAATATTACATTGCTCTGGATGACTTTCAAGACTCAACAACAAATTGGAGCATCAGGATGTCTTGTAGGTTCCTGTTTGGGGTTTATGTTTCTCTCTGAGCTTCACCTTACCATCGTCCCCCGTCAGAAGCCACAGATGTTGAAGTTGTTTGAGATTGAGGCTTGCTGAGACGTTTGAAGGTTGCGCCTCATAAGGATTATGTTTCAGAGATTCAGACTGAGGGTTTGCGGTTGAGCCGAATGGTGGGATTGATTTTTGGTGAAGGCGTGTCTGATCTCAACTTCACGCCTAAGATTAATTTAGCATTAAATGTTTCTTTTGCATTTTAACAATGCCTAAAAAATGCGATTAAATCATTGCATGGCCTGTTGTGATTTACTGCTTATTTTACGTGTGTCGAGAGGCTCTCAGTATTCACTTTTTAAAAGGCTCTGCAAAAATTGTTTGTGAAGCTGACCACATAGCGTTTTGGGGGCAGAATGAGAGGAAAATAGATTCTCTCATTAGTGAGATGTTGGTGCAGAAAGCATCTGATATTTCTGCATGTGTCATGTATTTATGTAAAGAGCAGATGTTCCCTCTGTAGACCTCTTCCTTTTCATTTCAGTGATCTGCAGCTTTCCCAGTGAAAGACAAGCTACTATCACACCAGAAACTGAACTACACTGGAAAACATTTAGTGTGAATTTAATGGATTAATGCAGTAATAGTTATTACTACCACAACCATGTCCTGCGAAAGTGAAGTGAAAGTCATGTGAAGGCCAAGTATGGCAACCGAAACTCGGAATTTGTCCTCTGCATTTAATCCATCCAAGTTAATGCACTCATTAGGAGTAGTTACTGTTGGTGCCTTGCTCAAGGGCACCTCAGTCATTTCCTGCTGGTACTGGAATGCAACCTTTGGGTTACCAGTCAGACCCGACTGCGCTACTGTGACTTCATAGTAAACAGGACGTGACTGTGATGTTGTACTGTATGTGTATGTGCTGTGGTACAGCAATCTCTTTTATACTGTATTTATAGATTAACTATGAGATCTATGGGAATATTGTGCTGGTGTTTGGAATTCCCAGAATGCACTGCCGCAGGGGTTATTTTAGTAGTATTTAAAATTAAGATTTTATTATTTTGAATAATATTTTGAATTAGCTCTTATTCTTTCATGTTTTCATTTTAGTTTTAGTAATTTTGTTATGTGTTTTTTTTTCATTTTTTATATATTTTTGTTTAGCTATAATTTATTTTTATTTCTGTTTTTTGTTTGTTTAAATAATTTAATTCAAATTAAATCTATTTTATTTCAATTTGCTTGCCTAGACAACATTTCTAAATTTAGTTTATTGTATGTTTTGTAAGTTTTAAGATCTTCATCTAATAATTATATTTTATACAAAAAAAAAATATATATATATATATATCCATATAATGTCCTGGGAGAAAATTACCAGTACCTTGTCCGTTAACTGGCATTCAGGCATTTCCTTCAGCCCTAAAACAAAACAAAACACAATGAAATGAAATGACAAATTCAAAATACAGGTAAAATTCATGTGAAAAAAACTATACAGAAGATTACTTCATATTAACACAGTACATTGTGACGTACTTTTACGAATATTACTTAGGGCCGGTTCACACAGAACATGTTTTTGCTGTTACGTAATACAATTGCAGGATTTAATGGGAGACTTAAAGTCACTAATTACAATTTTAACACCATTTTACACTATTCTAGTTATCTCAGATTATTCAGATACATAGCCGTAATTTGCAAGTGGGACGGGTGGGACAATTTTTGCCAGGGTCGATATTGTCCCCACCACTTTTGAAACATCTCGCGGCATAGATGAAACTAATACAAATTAATAAAACATCTCCAGTTAACTAGCTGAGCATTCATGTCGTTCGTTTGATAAATAAGAGGCTGAAATGTGTTGTTTTTGATATCAAGTGTTGCAGCCGCGGATTCAGTGTTCTGGTGTGGCTTGGCACAGACTTCACACGGACGCACGCTTCAATCCATTGCAGAGACTATCTATTTGTTCCGGTGAAATCACAAAGTAAAATGCACACAAACGTGTCCCTACTTGATATACAACAATCGTGTGGATTAGAACCCAGAACCTCTGACACGCTTGTCAAAAGTTCTGCCACTAGACCAGTGTGGCAATGACCAGTTCTTCACTTAAAAAAATTTGCCACCAACACATATTAGATCTCGTTAAACGACAAATTAAATACAATTCACTATTTAAATCGATTGCTGGACATCGGTTTGTTATTGTACATGGTTTACATCTGATTTATGATTTAACATGACTGACACGGCTTGACTGAAAGGCCTCTGCTGAATAGAAATTGCCTATTTCGACCAGGAAAATCATGCTCTTTTTCAGTGTTTTGGCAGCTGTGCTCTTATCCAGGCTGTGAATGTCATCTCTTTTCAATTATGTGGAACACATTGTGTGTTTTGGCACAAAATGACACAACTACATATTTTGTTATATAATGGGATGAGAGATTGTAACAAGGTAGGATCAGTCTGTGTTTGGAGTGCTCTTCACTTGTGTTAATATTGCTGCACTTTGTGCGTGCATCATGTCAGCTATATTTTTCTAATGCTAATGGACATCCAGATAATAGAATTCAGGGAACGTCACATTAAAATGTTACTTCAAATGGAAACATATATATATTTTCTACATACTTTCATCAAAATGTGTGAACAACATTGGACCCCACTGATTTTCAGTGAAATAAAAAAGATTATAGTATTAATTAATATTTTGTAGTAGCGTTTTAGATTTTCAGTTTTCTGCACAATTTACAGTTCCTCAATCACATCCTTTGCATTTTGAATTCCTGTATCGACCCCTTAAAAGCGAGTTTCATTGGTCTAATCTCCTCCTAGTGGGCCTTTAAACGCTACCCAACAGTTTGCTTTAACATCAACCAAAAGCTATATAGCTGGTCAATCATTGTTTAAGGCTGCTGTTGTGGTAATGCTGCCTTTCTAAAATCATTTAAAGAGGGAACACAGTAATTTGACATGTGAAATGTTTATTGAAGAACTCTGAGCTTTCTGGAGTTTCTGTATTTCTATTCATCTGTAAGGGTGTTCTCCTTAAACACACTCTCTTAATCTGGAGCTTTGTCATATTTAATAGCATAAATCAAAAATGGACTTCTCTTGAGAGACACATAGACTGTGATTCAGAGCCGCCTTTGATTAGATTAGATGTTTTTGGGTTGGAGCGTGAGATTCCTCTTCTCATTCATTGTACATTTCGTGGGATTGGGTACGACGAGTCGTTCTTAAATCTCTCCACTCACACTTTCCCTAACTGCAGTTATTACTCTGGCGTAAGGGCAACACTGAGATCAATTCTAAACTTTCATGCTGATTTCATTTTCAATAGCCCTTCATCTCTTGTAAAATGTGAAATATTGTGCGCTGTCGAAAGGATTTTGGGTTCCCTCAGAGGCAGGGAAATGTGTTGCTTTTATGCACCTTTTGCCACTTAAGAAAACAATTTTTTGTTTGTGTCGTCTGTAGCCATGGCAGCCGACAGCTCCTATTCTATAGTCCAGGGGTCTTCAATGGGAGTCTTTGGTGACATCACAGTGTGCCTAATTTCTGTGAAATGAAAGTGTTGCATAAAAGTTTACCTTTTTAGTCTGGTTAAGTGATATACTGGTCAGTAATAATTTTTTTTTATAAAAAAAAGAAACTAAAAATTATACTTTTAATTAGAAATTGATCAAACGTGACAGAAAAGACTATTATAATGTTGCAAAAGATACTTTTTGAAATAAACGCTGCTCATTCGGACTTCTCATCAGAAAAACCTGTGAAAATATGATTACAGCTTCTACAAAAATATTAAGCAAATATTTTTCAACATTGATAATAATTATTATTTTAGAGCTGCAAATCAGCATATTTGAATGATTTCTGAAAGATTGTGTGACCCTGAATACTGGAGTAGTAATGCCAAAAATTCAGCTTTGCATCACCGGAATAAATAACATTTTAAAATATATTACAATATCATTTTTATTTTATTTTAATGTTTCACAATATTACTGTTTTTTTATCAAATAAATGCAGTCTGGTCGAGTAGAAAGAGACTGATTTAAAAAAAAACACACGCAAATAATAATAATAATAATAATAATAAGAATAAGAATAAGAATAAAACAATCCCAAACTTTTGAATCCAAGTGTATATAAACATTTACATAAATGCATTTTGTATGCCAGGCTGAAAATGCACCATTTTACATATTGAATATGTTTAGTTCCCTGAGTACTATTGATATCAATGATGTTGTCTGTGCCATAATGAGGTCAATTTATCATTTCATCATACCTTCTGCTCCCAGCTCTACTCAGCCAGTGATGAACTAAGTAACTGAATTTGTTCCTGTCCTGTTGAACTATAAGTCTATTAAAATGTATTAGATTGTCACAGAGATACGTTGATTTAATTTTGCCAGTGTGTTATTGGAGAAATAAAGCTTCCTTTGGGTTTTAACTGCGTGAGTGTGACGATCGTGGCGGGTACGCTGACATTATGACTCCTGCTTGTCTCATAGGGAAAGCTTTCCACCTGTTGTCTTTCTCTGGAAATATAAATCTGTCAATCTGCAATGTCGCAATTTTTTCACATAATTCTGTTTGTATATTACATTTACATTTATTCATTTAGCTGACGCTTTTATCCAAAGCGACTTAATTGCTATGTCAGAGGTCGCACGCCTCTGAAGCAACTAGGGGTTAAGTGTCTCACTCAGGGATACATTGGTGTCACACAATGGATTTGAACCCAGGTTTCTCACACCAAAGGCATTTGTCTTATCCACTGCGCCATCACCACCCCATATATTAAACATTTTGGCTATTTTTAATGTGCAAAATATTTATTTTACAAATTTAGGGTTTTTTGTAATCAACATCGCAGATATTGTCGATAGAGCTTGAGTTGTTTTGAACCTGTAACACTCCTTTAATATTAGATTTTGTGCAGCCAAAGGTTTGTTTATTTCCTGTTTCACATATTCAGTTTTTGTCTTGCAGTTGTGGCTCACACAATCCCAATACATTTATAAAACTCTCAACAATATTTAATTAGGATGCAGTTTATCAATAATGTGGATGCCTGTGAAAATGTTTGAATTTTTAGATATCGAACAGCATGTGGTTTGCTTGAAAACAGCGTAATTATAAACTCCTCATGAGCAGAAATGTCAAGTGAAAGCTGAAGATGTTTGAGAGTTTTCGAGCACTTACAGCACACTATGTAAATTAGGTCAGGCTTATGAATCGTTATTGTTTCTGAAGAGAAAAGAGGAAACTTTGGTTCTGCCTGGAGACAGCACTGCTCATTAGGGTATCTGTAATGTAGACACTAGCATGAGTTCAAAGACAGAGACTGAGCTGTCCCTTTGACTATGTATAAAAATGCTTTATATTTTCATTTTTCCCCTTAATTGTTAGTTTTCTGGATGCATTTTTGCAGTGTTTACTGGTTTATTCAGCTGCTGCTGTTATCATATTTAGTCACTTTTTTGTAGTGTTCAAAGGTTTGTATCCTCACATCATTGGAATATTTTATTTATTTATAATTTTTTTAAATCGTTTGGCATTTAATTTTTTCTCATTTTAAGCAGAGGAAATTGCCCACGTCTAATAATCTTTGGGAGAAATCATACCATGACACTCAATAAAAGTCCCACCTGATTTATAGTTAAAATGGCCAATATCACCTCTGTGTACTCTTGAAAAATGCATGTGAATTAGCTTGACCAGCCTGAAAAATATAGTTTTTGGCATGATTTGAGCTAAAAAATCATAATTTATGATACCACTGCGATCTCATTTTATTCCTGGTTATCAATATAATCTGATTATCCAATAATATATTAATTAAACATGATATTGACAGTTTTGAAAAATTGATTATGCATTTTTGTAAACAAAATGAGGTCTGTCAGAGCAGGTTATGATGCAATATATTTTTTTATTCTGATGTCATCATTGATTCATTGCAGTGTTCATCATCCTGTGGGCGGGGCTTGCAATCCAGAGTGGTCCAATGCATGCACAAAGTGACCGGACGGCATGGCAGCAACTGCCCAGTAGTCCTGAAGCCCCCCACGTACAGGCAGTGTCATCTGGGGGCATGTAACGTAAAAGTCAATGTGAACACAATCACCTCCCCTAGACTGGGTAAGACTTTACAGTTAAATATGTTTGTGTATCCTGATTTATAGACTAAAGCTGTTGTTAGGACTCATGAACTTCATAATTCTTGAAGGGGCCATGGCATTTCATACAGTGGGTCTCCCTAGCTAAAAATTGCGTTTTCGGGGGCGGGGGTTACAATTTTAAACAAATTAGATCTTAGTGGACAATGCCCCCTTTTGCCCCCTCGTTGAACCAGCTTGTGTACACTCATGTCCCGCTGTTCATTATTTATCCTTGTTTCACCCAGAAATGTCACACAAAAATATAAAGCAATACATTTCCATCTCATTTCCATTTCCGAGTTGACAAGGCATTATTCCTAAAGAAACTAAAACTTGCAGTCTTTGCAAAAAAAAAACAAAAAAAACAAAAACTAAAATTTAAATTATTTAAAATAGAAAATATAAAAATAAAATTTAATTGAAAATATATAAAATGTATTTAAGTCATATCGGCCTGGTTTCACAGACAGGCCTTAGATTAATCCAGCATTAGACCTTAGATCAATTAGTACATTTAATTAGCTTTTATAAATGTGTAGAAAAAAAACACATTACTGGTGTGCATCTTGAGACAAAACAACAAATATCAACAACTTTTATATCATGATAAACAATCACACCTAACATGGTCAATCAGTGAATTAGCCAATCATCCAAAAAAATCTACGAAATCCAATGAACAAAATGTAAATAAATTTTTAAAAATGAATAGATTAATAATAATAATTAAAAAAAATAGATTATATAATGAAACAAGTATTTAGATCAAAATTCAAATAAGACAAAGAGGACATTGGACAAAGAGTTTCCAATGTATACATAACACAAATTTTACCTGTGTTCCAAATAATAGCATACTGCACATTTAGACATCATATGCACTTCTGATGCAAAGGCAATTCCAGTTCCTCATTATATTTTAAATTGACTTCCTCACGCCTATGTCGAATGATCCAAATTAGTCCATTTCCATTTCATTTAGATGCTGCCTTAATTATAGTGTGGGCAGTAAACAGCTCACTAGGTTTTGGAATAGAGCCTTTCTTTGCTTTAAGTTTAAGCAATAAACATTTCATTGTACTGCATAAACATTTCATTGCCGATACGTCTGTCAAATGAATCTGAAAAGCATCACGCTCAAATAATCTGAAAAACATCTAAATTAGAGCAGATTCAGGGCCTCAGATTCAGGGCAGACTGCTTTCCATGAGAAACAATTACCCTCCGAATAGGGCTTATGACAACAAACCCACAAAAAGTTTATCATTAGAGACTACTAACATCTATCATGAACAAATCAAACATTCTGATAAATTATTCTTAGAAATATCAACAAATCAACATAACAACTTTGCAGAGCTATCGGTAAATCAGTAAAATAGCGAAGAACATCTATAAGGTCTAATAATATTTTCATTACATTTACACTAAAATCACTGAACATCTAACACGCATCAGTTTAACAAAAATAGTTTACAATAGTTCAAAAAATGTTTACGAATCAGCAGGTAACATTAATTTAAATATGAAATGTTTGGAGTAGAGAGACTAAAATAGTTTTTTTTTTGTAAAACATTCTCCAGTGATCTTTGTTTTATTTACAAATTCGAAAAATCATTTTTACAGTGTATAACAGCAACATTGAACATTGCATAAGTTGTCTTCTAGGTGAACTGCACACAGTTGCATGTCTGGGCTGATGTATGCATGTTGTCAGGGATCGTGTGATATAATTGAATCTATGAAAGGCCAAGTCCTGTCCTTCTGTCATTCCTGGCAGCTGCATTGACGTACAAGTGCACGGGGGATCAGTGGGCGGTCTACTGCAGGGTGATCCGTGATAAGAACCTGTGCCAGGACATGCGCTGGTACCAACGCTGCTGCCAGACCTGCAGAGACTTTTACACCAACAAAATGCCCCCCAAGACTTGAAAACAGCACACAGAGGTTTATTTTTGCCTTTCCCATTTGTACTGTCAAGAATAATATGTTTTATATTTGAAAATGTTATTATGTGAAATTAAAAGCAGGCTGAAAGCAGTGCACACTATGCAAACTTTTGAAGGCACTGAGGTTAGTTACCACCAAAGGATGTACTTGCTGTGTGTTCACCAAGCGTTTGCGTTCTTGCATTACGTTTGTTTCTTGTTTTTGGACTTGAAGGTTTCTTGTGTTGTCATGTTTTGCTGTAATACTCCCTGGAAGTGACTTCTTCAGCATACTGGCTCATTTCTTCAGATTACCAGCTGTGAGATTGCTTTCTTAAGGCCACTGGTTGGCCAATAACTGATGGACTTTTTTTTTTTTTTTTCAGACTCGGATCAGTTATCTCTTATCTTGTTTTTGCTTTTATTCCTGGGAATAATAATGACTGTTGGCTCTGTAAACAAAACCTAGTGATCTGCCTTTCTCCTTATAAATGGTTGCAATAGAGTTTAAAATGAACCTGTCGCTAATCTAACTATGCAATACTGCTAGACATTAAAAAAACACAAATGTTCGATAAAATAGAAGCTGTTTTTGCTGATATATTTAGGTATTGAAAGGGTTATATATTTTTATTCATTTTTATCTCTGTTATTTCATCCATCAGCTTCTTTTTTTCTGAGCTTGTTGCAATTCATTTACATGTATGCATTTGGTATGCATTCACGGTATCGAACCCCATGATCTTGGCTTTGCTAGTGCCATACTCATCTGTTTAAGCCATATCCTTGCATTATGCGTGCATATAATAATAGATAATGCAATGCATTATTGTAGTTCTCAGCAAAAGAAGACATTTGTACATTATAATGAATCATTCTGCCTATGTAGGCAGCTCACTCGGTTTTGGAAAAGAGCTGAAGTAGCGTGTGTTATTTAATTCATAAAAAGCCATCTAAATGCAGTCGAGCAGCCAAGTTGATAATAAGTGACCCATTTGAGTATTTTTTCTCTTTAGGGTTGATGTATTTTTTATACAACTAGGCGAATTTGTGTAAATGTCATGTATGTGTCTAATCATATTTTAGGGATCATTCACACAGTTCACACTTTTTGGTGTTTAAAAAACAACCAGTGAACGGTCAGTGAAGTGGAAAAAAACAAGCTCTAGAGACGCGTAAACTTGATGCTTGTTATTTTCCCTGTCTGATGGTGCGGCAGTGCCACAGTTGTCGCACTCTTGAGTCTCTATGCTTGTATATCTTATTCTTTTGTCATCAAGTATGAGACAATAATTCAATAATACATTGTACATTTTTGTAATTATTGTAGTTTTCATATTGTGCAATAGAGGCAGTATGCAAACATGCCCCATAGACAGAATCAACAAAATCACAGTCCAAATCTCATAATTAAAATCTGGATACAATTTATTGGAGTTTACAAGGTACTTTTACAGTTACAGTTAGGATGTGGTCATAAATGTGACATTTTAAGTTTGTATTTCATAAAATAACCCCATGGCCGAGAGAGACACTGCATATGTATGAGAGACTCGAAGCACACTGAGTTGCCTACTGCCTACATGGGGAGCTGCCTTCTAAGATAGTATCCTAACTGAATGAAACCTCACTAGTGACAACAACTCATTGAGTTTTATGCTACTCCGATAAGGATGAAATGCATAGTATACGAAATGCAGGCTAGTTTTTGGAACAGAGCTTATGTGTGTGTTTGACACCTTGGCTCCGATCTACCAGGTTGCACAAGGTCACAACAGGTGCTAGACAAATTTCACTACTGTGAAATTCAGCATTTTTTTTTCTTCACGTTTTGTTCTTGTACTTATGTATGTATTTAAATGAAACGTGTTTTTTTAATGTTTGTTAGGATTATTTAATACATATTGTATCTACCTGCTTTTGTCAGAACTATTGGGTGCAACAGCTTCATGTTCCAGGTATAGCGGATATTGCTTGTGTATTCCAGTACTGTACGTCAATAGTTGCACATGTGATTGGTACTTAAACTTCCACTTTTGATGGTGCTAATTTGAACATTTCAGACTGTTCAAAAATATATTATAATAATAATAATAAATGTATATCCTGTATTATGCTTTTGTGTGTGTGCATCAATTTTAAATGATATTTTATGCTTATAATCAATAGCTTAGTAGTTTTATATTGTACTATCATTTACACACTAAGCCCCTATTAAAGATTTTTGGTTTTTCTTTGTCCAGATTTTCCTATACTTTTTTTTTATCATGCTGCAAATAACAATATGCTTTTTTTATTATTGTAAGCTGGTTTCCTACGTGATGTTTTACCATAAGAGTGCTCTTGAGAGAGTTCAGAGGTCTCAGCATCACAATCACAACCTTTTGAAGTTCCCCGGCTCGTTCTTCAGCAGTTGTTTGCGTTTTAATTTTGCTGATTCTTATGTCGGCTATGACACTGTGAATATATTACGTTGAGAGGATCCGAGAGCGTATGCATGACGAACGGCTGCGCGGCCTGCTGTTCTCATCCGTAAATCTGCCGCTGTCAATGTAATGACACTGGCTTAGCTGTGAAGGACGTGAGGAGAAGGTCACCGTCACGTTTAAATGCTCATCTCAAATCCTCTGTATGCTGGAGGCTCTTTGTGCTTCGGTGAGTGTTCTGACATTCACACCATTACACAAAATAGACTGTTTAAACAATGAAGTGAAAAATTGTGTCATTGGTGCATGGAATTAAAGATGTTGTTTTCATAATCTTCTCAAAATGTAATAATGTGCATCTGAAACCGCTGTCTTTTTCAGCTGACATCTCCAGGGGCGTCGTAACGGGCATGGGGAAGATTAGGACGGGTCCTCAACAAGCAGATTGAGCATCTTATCCTTAAGTTCAGGGAAATCTCTTTCAGCCAGGAAGACTTGGATACCATCGTAGCAGCCAGTGAACCTCTCCAGAATATGTGGCGTGTATTTCTGCATCTGTCGGTGCGTGAGAGTAGATCGTTTAAGCGTTTTCAGCACATGACCTCATGAAGATCTCAATCTGAAATTTCAGCACAGACATTTTATTCACGTATTATGCAGTGAAGTTTCATGAGCAACTTTTTCCTCAATTTACTCCACAGCTCCTCTGTTTGCAGACTATGGCGGGAGCCTCTGCAGAAATCTGCCACTCGCTCCTCAATACGCTCAAACTCTTTGGATGAATGATGTGGACACTCTGGGGTAAAACATCTCCAACATTTTTTATGTTTTGTTTTCTGTGCAGCCACAGATGTTCAGTGGAAATTTCTGGTGGATAATTATACCACCATCTGTCTGGCTACAGGTTTGACATGGATTTAATAATTGATATTTAATTTATTATTGTTCTAAATCATGAAGGTTTCAACTGAAAAGACCAGCACAGCCAAGATGTTCAGCTTAGTTGGTGAAACTGCTTGATAAACATTTTTCAAGAAGGTTTTATTTGCTTACATTAGTTAACTACATAGTCAACATAAATCAAAACATCAAAAGCATTTATTAATCTTAGTTGATCTTAATTTAAACATTTACTAAATTATCAGGAAACGTTTTATCTGTTAATATTCTATAGTGAATCTTAGCCAACTTACAATTGGACAGTTGTATTTTTATTAACTAATGTTAACAGACCGGTAGATTAATAAATACTGTGTCAAATGTAATTCTTAGTTAATGCATTAACATTTACTAATGGACCTTGTTGTAAAGTGGTACCATTTATTTAATTAAAGGATATAATTTACTCACCGTCATGTCATGTATTATTTTCTAATGTCTTTGAAACACAAAATGAGATAATAGAAGGTTTTTCTGTTTTAGATAGAAGGAAATGCAAGCTCCAACAAAGGACAGAATAACAGATTATGTTTATGGTTTTCTTATGTCACATGGTCACATGACAAAGTCAATTAATAGAATTTAATATTTTTACTGTTTAATTTTTTGTTATGTTTTTATTTTTCTAATTAAATTAATTTTTATAACTTAATCATTCATATGTAAAACCCCCTTAATTCCTTCGTGGACCCTAGTTTGAGAAACCCTGTTCTATGCAAAAGATCCGCTTGGACATTCTGTCAAGAATCTCATTTGCGTTTAATGAAAGACTAAAAACAACATGAGAGCATGAGAGTAAATACATTGTTTTAATTTTTCGGAATAATTATTTCTTCAAGACTTCCATTTTGGGGCTGAACTCCATCAGCTGTTCCTCTTGTTCAGAAGCTGTTCTTCATAGAATCTTCTAGAACATCTCTAAAGTATGTTCTTACATTTATTTACGACTTACAAATAAGAACGATAGAAGTAGTTAAACTATCAATAGGACAACAATATGCAAGTGCTACAGTATGACCCTCTCCAGTTTAATCTAACACAGAAGATATTCTATATCTATTATCTTTACTGATTCATTCCACCATCACATACCTTCAGATCAAACACCAAAAGAAGAAATGTGAGGACGCTTCAACTACAACGACATTGTCAGGAAATCCACATGAGCTGCTTAATAAATCAGAATGAGAGCCGAAGTGTCTATCCCTGTCATATTCGCAGCAGGACACTGTTATATGTTCAAAGGCTCAATCATGTTCTTCTCCTCGATTGGAAGGTGTTTGTCTCATCACAGCCCAGCTGGTCGTCTTTGTTCCTCTGTTCATCTTGTCCTGTTCAGTGGCGCTGTGATGAAGACCTCCCAGTGAGTCCAGCAGAAATCAGCCACAGCACTCCACTGACATCACTGGACATCTCACCAGCTTTTGTCTCAGACTGATGTTATGATGGATAATACACATTTATGAGGTGAAAAGATGCGTCTCGAGACACTTTATTATTCAATTGTGATGTTTTCTTCTCAAAACCAGCAAATCTTAAGGACTGTTTTTGTGAATTACCTAGACCCATCTACAGTATATGCATGTATCTAGACCCATGTATTTAGACCCATAGTGCACTTCTGTGCTTCTCATGTTGGTTATTTAGAGAGAAATGCTATTGGACTCTAATTTACTATCTGTCCCTAGAACTAGACTTAAAAATAGGGGTGATAATGCATTTGCAGTCATTGGCACTAAGGTATGGAATAGCCTACCGGCTTGCATCAGATCCGTCCAAACTTTGTCAACTTTGGAAACGTATTTCAATAGCTTTTATTATTGTATTGTATTGTATTGCTCAAAAGTTTGGGGTCAGTAAAGAAATTAATACTGATAATTCAGCTTTGCTTAAAATATCTTACCGACTCCAAAATATTGAACTATTTTGTAGTTCACTCTAAATAAATAAATCAATTTGACAAAGGATTGTTGGAGATGCCCTCTAGCACCAGTTGAGATGCCGCTATCTGCAAGACTTCAGAGTCATTTCTGATGATTTTCTCCCTGTGGATTCCTTCACTTCTCTCTGTCCTCACACAGCCAGAATAACTAAGCAGCGAGCCACACGTAAGCTGTTATCAGCTCTGAATGAAGTTGGAGGGAGAAGATCGCTGTGATAATGCCCTTCAGACAGGTGGTGTGACATTTACTCAACACTGAATAACCCTGGCGTAGATGTCCAGATTGTCTTCAAAACTCCTTAGATGAGGGAAGGGATGGATGTGAAGGTAACAGCTTCATGTTTTCAGACAATATGTAGGTGACATGAATGTGTTGCTTCTTTTTTGTATCAGGATATTACTCAAAAAGACAATAAATACAAACATCTAATGTAACCCCGGTTCCCTGAGAAAGGGAACGAGATGCTGCGTCAGCTGACGCTATGGAAATGCACCCTCACAGAACCCAGCGTCTGAGGTACGCGTACGAACACTGCATAATATGGCAAACGCAGGGGTCGCCGTATAAGAAAGGTGCATGAGATTTTTATTGTCTGAAGGAAGCCAGCAAATTCCTTTCCACCCAAAGCATCCATCAATAACCCTATCATAACAACAATTCAGAAATTTGTGGAAACTGCCACACACTGCTATTTTGTGGCAAGTCTATGTACAGACTTCAAACCGTTTGCCAACTTCCCTTATACAGTAAACCCAGATAATTCAATATGCTTACCAAATGGTGGTGTTTGTCTATTTAATAATATTTTGGTCCTCTATTGAGGAGTTCACAATTGTAGGATCAGAATTTGTGATTGAATGGTTCTTGTTGCCTTTGAAAGGAAGATCTGAGCAATGGCACACCTTTTAAGGGGCAAACATTATTTCTCATATTCTAGAACGTCTTGTTTCTTGGAGCTTTGTATTATGGCTAGGAGAATGTGACCATTTTACCAGGCACACTGAGACATTTTATATGATACCAAACATGTATAGTTACTTATTGTACATATTTAACATATGTTTTTAGTGAATTTTAGGTAAGGAGAAGAAGAGTGGGAGCAGGGGGAGATGATGAGACTGTAAAAGTGAGTTGTGAGATGCACTGTGTGGTGCATCTCGGATGTTGCGGTTACATATGCAAGAGAGAGTTCAAATGTTAATTCTCAGGAGAGACTTTTGCTTTCTCCGAGGGGTAGCCCAGGCTTGCTGGCACCCGCCTTACATCCCCATTGCATCAACAGCTGATGCAGCATAGAAGGGATAGCTGCAGGTCAGAGTAATTGGTGTGCCGAAAGGTGAACTGCTTCAACAGAAACTTTCCCCTCCCCAACCATTCCCCACACCCTGAGAGACAGCTTTCGAGACCAATGATAAAGACCTTTCTCCACGACCCAACCTTTCATCATGCCCATTATTCCAACCTGCAGAGACCCACACTTGCTCTCGAAAGGGAACAGTGGGCCTTAAATGAGGAAAACAGTTTCTGCAATTTGCATAGTAAGTAAGCATACACATTAAATTACATAAAAGCCCCTGAAGGCATATTTTAGATTGTATAAAATAATGTTGTAGTGCATTTCTTACAGTATATGTCCTTCAAAGTTAAAAAGCAGTCCTTTGTCCTTGATTGTAATAAAAGAATTAGGGAGTTACTGTAGAAAAGGTCTTATAGCAGCTACAGCTTTGTCAAAGAATCTATGCTTTACCCTGTTTGTCCTGGACTTAATGGCCCTGTACCTCTTCCCAGATGGTAAAGGGACAAACATC